AGTCGGCAACCATAATCGTTACATTTACACCAAAAACTATAAGAAACCCATTGCGCGATTTTGGTTTGTGAGATCCTCAACTTTGCGTCAGTGTTCCTCTCGTGTGCACGTTAATTTTTCAGTTTGTTGTTAACCAATTAACCCACTCGACTGGTGTCCGTACAATACATTTCTTTTTCTCCAGTCGAACATCTGTGGGACTAACTGGACGGTAGGGTTTAAAGGAATACCCAAGCTACTCTCGACCAGCTAAGCGCTGCGTTGTCGAAAGTGTTGAATAATATCCCCAAGAGAAAGGCAGAGAAGAATTAAGGTTGTGACAGATGCGCGAGGGAGGCATAATAGGACATAATGAGAATTTTCGATTTTCACTTTTGGGGGTACCGTCATTTGAGTTTCATAACTCGTAAATTATCGGTCAAAATCAAATGACATTTTGCTTTCTTGTTGATGAAAGATGAATTTAAAATTTATTTAAAATGTGATAACAATGGTGGAAAATACGTTCGAAAATATAACATTAAATCACTTCAAAAGTTTACCCTGTGTTTCTTTTTCCTTTCAGTACATATAAAAATTATACAACACAACAATCATAGAGAACATATGCTTTCATTTACGTTACTTTTTATAAAATAGTAACAGTCGAAATTAAAATGTAATTTTTTCTCAATCACTTAAATTAAATCTACACAGGAACTACACGATATTCAGTACCAAATGAAAATGGCATGGACATCCTATGCTGTATTGGATAAATCCCTTAAAACGTGTTGCCATTCGTTGCATAGCTTTTACGCGTCTCCTTCAGACTGATTTGATACGGATCACCTCCTGCAAGTAGAGGACGGATCCAGCAATTCTCGAGAAGACGATTTCTGTATAATGAAGGGAATATGGGCGATCCAAGATCTTGCAAAGTTCAAAGAACAGCTTCAGTTTCGTTTGTAATTGTATCCATGTCAAAAAAAAAAAAGAAAACTGGCGTTCTTTAGGCCCCTCAAATATTTTCAAACATTACAGAGCACATCACAACGTATGTTATCTTTAATCAAGACAAAGTCCCACACTAAGCTACTAACCTAATAGTGTCCTAGATGCAACATTAATGCAATTTTGGTCCAGGTAGGGCTTGCAGTTTCTTGGGAATGGACTTGTTCTAAAAACTTTAAATTGGTCATTCATCCAGAAAATGCAGGTCATATTTAGCATACAAAGTAAGTCTGATAGTGTGCATCCCTTGATGCATCATCCATACATGTTTGGTCCAGGTAAACCTTATAGTTACTTGAGAATGGACATAAAAAATTTAAAAAAAAAATTAAGCCTTGTCACTCTTCCGGAAAGCTTGTCAGATTCAGCATTCGCATCTCTAGATGAATCATTAATGCAAGTTTGTTCTATGAAGGGTTTAAAATAAAACTAGAATGAAGCTGCTTCAAAATTAACCCTTATCTTATCATGTCCAGCATCCAAAGCAACCCTGGTAGTGTGCATCCCTAGATGCATCAAAGAACAAAGTTTGTCCAGTTAGGGCTGAATTTACAATGGAATGTACCTGCTCCAAAAACTAATCTAATTAAAATTAGATCTTGATCCGCCCCAGCTAGATCTAATGAAAACCCACAGGAGCAATCTAGTCGGAGCGGATCAAAGATCAGATTTTATATTGATTGCTCCAAAACTTTAACCTGGTCACGCATTTGAAAAATGTAGATCCTAAGCAAGCCCGAGAGAGTTCATCTTTTGATGCATTATCCATGCAACTTTGGTCTAGGTAAGGCTTGATGTTACTCTTGAATGAAACCTGTTCCAGGACTTTAACCTGGTCATTCATCCAAAAAATATAGGTCAATTCCACCATCCGAAGAAAATTCGATTGTGCAACCCTACTGAAAATTCCATGCAAGTGTGGTTCAGATGCTGAACCAGTAGTTCTTGAAAAGAAGATTATAAAAGTTTTTTTTCTCTAAATATTCTATTATAAACTTTGATCATCTCTTGTAGCCACACCCTTCCTCCGAGGGACATGCTCTGAATGAAACTGAATCTACACTTCATAATGAAGCTTTCACACAAGTTTCAACTTTTCTGACACAGTGGTTCTTGAGAAGATTTTTAAAAGATGTCACTAAATTTTCACTTATTTTTAGTACTTCCCTTGAAAGAGGGCATTGCCCTTCATTTGAACCAATTATCCAACTTCTTCTCTAGAACCGCTGAACCAATTTCAACCAAATTTGGCATATAGCATCTATGGGTGAAAAGGAATAAAAATTGTGAATATCATGGTCCCTGCCCCCCCCCCCCCCTGTGGCCTGAGTGGTGGGGCTAAAACCACCAAAATTAATGTAATCTTAAAAAATCTTCCTCTTTACTCCTGGACATCAAGCAATCAGACTGTTGGCATGATTGTAATAAGCATTCGGTCCTCTACCAAAATTGTGAAATTCATGGCCCCAGGGTCAGGGGTTCTGGTGCTAGGGTGGGGCTATCTAGATCATATTGTGAAAGTGCATTATTTCTTTGAAAATCTTCTTCTCTGCTCCTGGGTTTTATTTAAACAAACTAAATGCATGGTTATGGTGCACAAGGATGCCTTTTCCAAAATTTTGAATTTCATGGCCCCTGGGTCAGGGATTCTGGTGTTATGGCGGGGCTCTATTGATTATATAGTGAAAATGCATTAATTCTTTAAAAAATCTTCTTCTTTGCTCCTGGGTATTATTTAAACCATCTAAGTGCATGGATATGATAATCAATGATGCCTTTTCCAGAATTGTGAACTTCATGACCCTTGGGTCAGGGGTTCTGGTGTTAGGGTGGGGCTCTATAGATTATATAGTGGAAATGCATTAATTTTTCGAAAATCCTCCTCTCCACTCCTGGGTATTATTTAAACAAATTAAGTGCATGGTTATGATAACCAATGATGCCTTTTCCAAAATTGTGAGATTGATGGCCCCAAGGTTGGGGGGTGGGGGACTCTATTGATTATATAGTGAAAAGCATAATTTCTTCGAAAATATTCTTTTCTGCTCCAGATTATAAAGCAAAGAAACTAAGTGTATAGTTATGATAGACAAGAGTGCTTCTACCAGAATTGTGAGTTTCATGGCCCCTAGGTCAGATGTTCTGGTGTCTGGGCGGGTGAAAATGCATTATTTCTGTTAAATAATCCTGTCTGCTCCTTAGTGTTGAGCAGATGAACAAAGTGCAAAAGTTATGATGAACAACTGTGCTTCTTGCAATTTTTAAAACTTGTGGTTCAAGGTTTTGGTGTTGTTGTTTTTTTTGTTTTTTTTTTGGGGGGGGGGGGGGGGCTTTAAGGCTAGTATATTGATAATATAGTGGAAAATGTGTTAATTCTCTGAAAATCTTCAACTAAGTGCATACTGAGTTGTTATGATGATGACGGTACCTCTACCAAATTTGTGAATTTCATGACCCTGGGACATTGGTTTTAGTGTTAGGGTAGGGCTGTGTTGAATCTGTAGTGAAAATGCATTATTTCTTTGCAATTTTCTCTGCTCCTTGGCATATCGAAGACAAACAGAAAAAAGGTTTTAAAGGTTTTAAAAGGCAAGGATATTTTTACCAGATTTTTGAACATCAGGATCATTTGGTCAAGTGTTCTGGTCCTGGCCAAGGCTCTATTATTTTGTATTCTACTGAGAGAAGTGTTTCTCCTTTGCCATTTACTTTTGATAATTAATCACTGTAAATAATGTATTTGAAAGTTAAAAGAATAAGAGAATTATGCCAAAAAAAACTATAATACAAAAAAGGTACTTTCATAGTTTTAATGATCAGGTAGACTTGTAAATAATAAATAAATAAAAATGAGATAAAAATAACTTACTATTTATGTTCTTCAAAAACCCAGAGAGGCCAATATGAGAGGTCATAATATGGGGTAAAAAGTAGTACAGAAGAACTATAACAGTTTGTTGATAGTCTGCATGGTGATAGTGATAAATGGGGAATAGTTAAGAATTTAATTTATGAGTTGTTACTGAATACTTGACTATTTCATTGATCCTGATCATCATATTTCACTTGCTTTTGGGCAACAAAGCTTCATCTATCAGTTTATTTTATACACTATGGATCCTCTCAATTTTTGTATTATACTCAGGTGACCATTAAGGCCCTTGGGCCTCTTACTTTAATATAGAGTCACAAAAACCACAACCTGAATGTTTCGTCTCTTTACCAGGCAGTGGTATCTTGTCCTTTGAAGATTGATTGATTATTTAACGCCGAGTCGGCAATATTTCAACCATATTTCGGCGAATGAAATGATTTTTTAAAAAATTTAATACCGTTGGATAAAGCACATATTACGTTTTCTAGGAATGACATAATTTAAATTATTCGTGAGGGGCAATTGATGCAATTGTTTTGAATTATTCAAAGTCTTCCATGAAAAATGTATTTTTCCAATGTAACAGCTTTTATTGGTCCTACATCTTACTTATTGCACGCCATCCTCCATTTTGGTCCCGAGGTAGGATCTAGCACTAGTAGTCCTGTCTCGTACTCAAAGAATTGTGGTCCCCTCTTTCGGTGTCTTAGTAGTTTGGATGCCATTATTTATGGCATGTTGTATCTGTCTTGTTTGTGTGTCCTTCAAACTTCTAGCTCAAAGTCATGAAGTCAAAAAAGATATACCTCTCTGAAAGGTGTTGACTTAGGTAATGTAAAGGTAAAATATTAAAGCCCTATCTTCTCTCATTCAAAAGATCTTACGAATGTAAAAAAAAAATTTAAAAAGACTATAGGTTAAACTGCGAAAGCGAGGAACAACAATCGGATTTACTGCATTACACGGAAAAAACAGTTGATATGCATATTAAATGTGTCCTGAAAGGCTATCTGATAGCACATAAACTAAATTATCTAACCTAGGTTTACAATTACAGTTCCTCTTTCAAAAGCTACAGCTTACACTGAAAGCAAGAACATTCATAGTCATACCTGGATTTTTATGAACAAACATGGCGGAATCGGCCCCTAAAGTTGATGGATTTAGTGAGTTTTGCACAGGAAATAAACACTTAGAAAAAGTTTGGGAAAAACTTTTGAAAATCCAGGAATTTTATGAAATGGACACAGTCTCTCATTTTTTTCATTGTACTTCCAAAAGTTGCAAAAATGAAATTCTACATTCTAGGATGTTGAGAGGAGAGATAACAGAGTCTCCTGAGCTGGCACCATTGGCAGCAAACACAAACTTGAAAGGAGTCTGGTTCGTACTGGCTTTAGAAGAGAGAGAGCTTCCCAAAATATCCCCTTACGGAACACAGAGGATTAGAATACCTGCATCAGTAATGATGAATTACATGGTAAACACATCGCTGGACGACGACGATGATAATAATGACCCATCTCGGACAAAATCAGACAATGAAGACAATCTGTTTTTATTTTTTGAGAGCTCGTATACATACAATGGGAAAACCCAGTACGTCAGGCTCCTTTTAGTTCGGTCTACTGACCCAAATTTACACTGGTGTAAACAAAACTTACACGAAGTGAATTTATATGACAATCCTTTTTTTCAATGGTCAGATGACAAGCTTTTATCTTCCAAGAATCACGGAACAAATTTGTGGGTAGAGATACTCGTCGTAAGAGACATTGTACTTGATAAATTAACAGAGAATCCTGTCTGGGATGTGGTTAAAAAAGGGAGACGGGAAGGAGGAGAACCTGACATACTGTAGGATGTGTTCTATAGATTCCAGTGTAATACTGAAAGACTTAAGAAAGGCATAACTTAATGATTTATGATGAAAGTTATTTTGTATTCAACTGTATAAATGAAATACATGATGTAGTTTGAAAATTTTATTTTTTCTATGATTGATGCAAGTGACCAAATGATAAAGACTTCAAATGGTTCTCCTATTGGATATTCTGTGAAACTCCTATTGTCAACAAAAGTTGTTGTGGGCCTGTATCGTTGCTACTGCTGAGTCTGTCATACTGGGTACGTGAATTCTTCTTTATTTTATTGAACACGGATTTTTTAAAAACACCCTCTCCGTCCAACTTGACTTAGATTTTAAAGCCTTTTACAGCCCTCTGCAGTCTGTGATGGTGATAACGCAGCTTCAGATCTGAACATTTTGAATGATAAGGGACTCTGACAACAGACATGTCAATTTGTGAACTGTTCTGACATGGATACGGATGCTGCACATGACTTCCACTGGATTGATAGACAGGGATCATTCTTAGACATACTATTGCCATATGAAAGCTGATGGCATGACATAGTGACGAAAACAATCAACCAGGTCCCCAACAGCTATGTTTTAAGTTACCGTTTAAAATGTCGGCAATCAACGAACATGATGGAACATTTTGAATTGCTTAATCTTGCAAGAAAGACAAACTATTGCTTGATTTCGCCTTTTATTGCTAAATTGCAGTGTTGGCAAAATCCGTTACTCTTGGCTTTATGAAGAAAAACCAATAGAGGTCAAACGATACTGACAATGCAGGTTTTTAACCAGATATAGGTTTTTAATAACGCTCTATAAATTTTGTACAACACCATGAACATTGTCTACTATAAAATCAGGTAGGACAAGCAGTGGTTGTAGAAATTATCAGGGTTAGTGATGAACATAAGTTTAAACAGAAAAAAACCCATCAAGTTATGCAAGAAATAATGCCCCTTTATCAAAATTTACCACAGAGGACTTAAACAAATTTCTTTTGCGCTATTATAGCATAATTTTTTTTTTTTAATAATTTTTGAAAATTGTCAAATACCTTTGCTATGACTACTAGTACATGATCTTAACCCACTCCCTCGATCTTTCAGTCATTGGTATGGTTGTCTATCTGTCTGATGTCCAATTGTACGTCTGTCTATCATCACAAGGTTTATTCTAGACAATAACTTTGGAACCGTATATTGCAATGAATTCAAATTAAGTTTGTTATGTCCATTATATAAAGGTGTGTTTTGATCCTGCTTAAGTTCATTATTACAGGTTTATGCCAATGGGCAATGAGATAGTGAAATACTGTCCAAACCATATTCTTTGATTAAAACGAGTTCAAACTTGAATATGTTATAGCTGATGACCCAAAAATATGTCTTAAACTTTACTCAAGGACACGGTAATTTCATCAAAGGACATGTAGAGATAGCTAGAGGCTTGATTGGTTAAAGGGGAAATTAAAGTTTATGACCAGAAAAAAAAATAGAGATTTTTTTTTAATTCATTCTAGAAAAGAGTCTAAAATTATGACCCTAACCCGCTCTTGCTATCTCATTGCCCACTGAACTTGTAAATTATGCATACCCATGGCTCATCGGCAGCATCATGCTGTTAAAAGTTCAAATTTATTTGTTCAAGGGTTCAATATTTACAGCCCAGAGAATACTTCACTAGCTTGTTGCCCATGGAACATGACCTTTCTTCGAAATAGATGAGTGATCTTCACTCAAGGTCAAATCTGAATGGTTAGTGTCAATGTGCAATGAGATAATGAAATGGTGCCTGGTTATAACTTATATGTGTGGAACCTTCGGAATGTAATCAAAATTTTAGTTTGTTTGAATTTCAATTAAATCGTGTCTATACAAGAACGCTATCTCTTGGTTAGAATTGGTTCATACCTTAGTATGTTGTTGCTGGTGACTGAAAGATTGATTGAGTTCTTGACTTACACCCTTTTCTCAAAAGGTTAAGGTCTTTTGGCAATGAAATGTTACAATTGTGTCTTGTTCAAAGGAGATGGGCGAACATAGCGTGCACAAAGCCTATAGCTTCAGATATATAAAAATCATGTTCAATTTGTGAATTTAGTATTTAGAGTAAAGTTCTCATTATTGAAATTTATGAAATTATGATAAACAAAACTTTTCTGAGGAAAATTTTCTTGGCAAAATTTATTCTTTTATTTAAAAAATAATGTAATATTCGTGGAGTTCGAACCCTAGCAATAAAAACCCTGAGTATCATTTTCTTTCTAGACTAGCACGCTAACCACTAGATTACACAAGTCCTGATGAAGATTGGCATTTAAATCATGGTTGTGATATGACCCTTGACTTAATGGACTTCAAGAATTTCTCGAAAAGATGCAAATTTTATGTCATAAAAGTATATTTTTAAGGTATAGTGGGTCTTTGCTCCATATTTTTGGTAACCAAAAAATGTATATTTTTATGCAAATTTTGAGGATTAACTTCCAAAAAAGTGGAGCGAAGACCCACTCATATCGAAAAATAATGATACAGTATGAGAAAATGACTCTTTTTGCCCGCTTTGTTGTGTTTATAATATTTCATAGGCAAATAATTTCAATCTTTGAGGGATTTTTGCAAATTGTAGAGATTTTACATAAAACAAGAGGCCCAAGGGCCTTAACGGTCACCTGAGTACAATACAATAATTTAGAGGATCCATAGAGTATTAAAATGAAATGAAAGGTGAAGCTTTGTTGCCCAAAAGCAAGAAAAATAGGGTGATCAGGATCAACAAAATAATTAGTCTACTATTCATTAACAGTTCATAAATTATGTTCTAATCTGTTCCCCATTTATCACTTTCACCATACAGTATATTAACAAACTATCAGTGCTTTTGTACTATTTTAATTCCTTGTTGTAATCTCTTACATTGGCCTCTCTTGGTCTTTGATGAACATTTAATAAGACAAGTTATTTTTGTCTCATTTTTATTTATCTATTTCTTACAAGTCCACATGATCATTAAAACTATGAAAATACTTTTTGTATTATACAATAAAAATTCTTGCATAATTCTCTTATTCTATTAATTTTTCAAGTACATTATTTACAGTGATTAATTATCAAAAGTAAATGGCAAAGGGGAATAACTCCTCTCAGTAGAATGCAAATTAATTGAGCCCTGGCTAGGACCAGAACACTTGACCAAATGGTACAGATGTTCAAAAATCTGGTAAAAATACCCTTCCTTGTTACAACTTTTACACTTTTTGCCTCTGATATGCCCAAGTGCAGAGAAGATTTTTAAAGAAATAATGCATTTTCACTACAGATTCACTATATTATCAATAGAGCCCCTCTCCCCCCCCCCCCCCCCCTTCACCACCGAGAAACACCAGAGACTCTCACCCTAGGACCAGAAGTTTCAAGTTTGCTCATCAATGTAATCACTTTGTTTAACTGCTTAACATTAAGGAGCAGACAGGATTATTTAATAGAATTAATGCATTTTCACTACATTATCAACAGCCCCACCCTTATACCAGCACATCTGACCCAGGGGTCATGCAATTCACTACTCTGGAAGAAGCACTCTTGCTCATCATAACTACATAACTGTATACTTAGCTTCTTTGCTTTTTAACCAGGAGCAGAAAAGAATATTTTCAAAGAAATTTTGATTTTTCACTATATAATCAATAGAGCCCCCCCCCCCCACCTTTTGACCAGATCCCTTGACCCTGGGGCCACGAAATTCACAATTTTAGAAGAGGCATCCTTGCGTATCATAACAATGTACTTAGTTTGTTTAAATAGTACCCAGGGGCAGAGAAGAAGATTTTCAAAGAAATAATTCACCTTCACTGTAGGAGCTATATAGCCCCACCCAAGCACCAGAACCCCTGTCCCTGGGGCCATGAATTTCACAATTTTGGAAGAGGTGTCCTTGCTTATCATAACAATGTACTTAGTTTGTTTAAATAATACCCAGAAGCAGAGAAGAAGATTTTTAAAGCATTAATGCATTTTCACTATATAATAAATAGAGCCCCGCCCTAACATGAGAACCCCTGACCCAAGGGCCATGAAATTCACAATTTTGGTAGAGTCACTCTTGCTTATCATAACTATGTATTTAATTTGTTTCAATAATACCCAGGAGTAGAGAAGAAGATTTTCAAAGAAATAATGCACTTTCACTATATGATCTATATAGCCCCGTCCTAGCACCAAAGCCCCTAATCCTGGAGCTATGAATTTCACAATTTTGGTAGAGTCACTCTTGCTTATCATAACTATGTATTTAATTTGTTTCAATAATACCAAGGAGTAGAGAAGAAGATTTTTAAAGAAATAATGCACTTTCACTATATGATCTATATTCCCTCCACCCCCCCCCCCCCCAGCACCAGAACCCCTGACCCTGGGGCCTTGAATTTCACAATTTTGGTAGAGTCACCCTTGCTTATCATAACTCTGTATCTAATTTGTTTAAATAATACCCAGGAGTAGAGAAGAAGATTTTCAAAGAAATAATGCACTTTCACTATACGATCTAAATAGCCCCACCCTAGCACCAGAACCCCTGACCCTGGGGTCATGAATTTCACAATTTTGGTAGAGTCACCCTTGCTTATCATAACTATTTATTCAATTTGTTTCAATAATACCCAGGAGTAGAGAAGAAGATTTTCAAAGAAATAATGCACTTTCACTATATGATCTATATAGCCCCGCCCTAGCACCAGAACCCCTGACCCTGGGGCCATGAATTTCAGAATTTTGGTAGAGGGCTCAATGCTTATTACAATCATGTCAACAGTTTGACTGCTCGATGTCCAGGGGTAAAGAAGAAGATTTTTAAAGATTGCATTAATTTTGATGGTTTTAGCCCCACCCCTCAGGCCCCAAGGGGGCAGGGACCATGAAATTCACAAATTTTGTTCCCCTTCACACATAGATGCCATATGCAAAAATTGGTTGAAATTGGTTCAGCGGTTTCAGAGAAGAAGCTGAAAATGTTCAAATGTTAACACACGACGGACGATGCACGACGACGGACGAAAACAGATAGCAATAGGTCACCTGAGTGACTCAGGTGACCTAAAAATTTTATGTTAGATGAAATATCAAGGAAATTTTTGATATAATCGAAATTTAATGTTTCACCTTCATGTTTGTCACACTATAGATTTGGTACAGGTAGGCCTTTACTTTACTTGGGATTTAACCTGCTCAAAAATCTTTAACTTGGTCACTCATCCAGAAAATGTAGGTCATATCCAGCATCCAAACAAGGTAGTGTGGATCTTTAGATGCATCATCCGTAAAAATCTTGTCCAGACAGGGCTTGAATTTACTCTGGAATATACCTATCCCTAAAACTTTAACCTGGTCACTCATTTGGAAAATGTAGGTCAGATCCAGCACCCGAAGCAAGTCTGAGAGTGTTCATCCCTTGATGTATTATCCATGCAACTTTGGTCTAGATAAGGCTTTTACGTTACACTGGTGTATCATCCATGCAAGTTTGGTTCAAGTAGGCCTTATATTTTCTTGGTAACGGCCCTGCTCCAAAAACTTTAACCTTGTCGTTCTTCCGGAAAATATAGGTCAGATTCAGCATCTCAAGCGAGTCCAGTAGTGTGCATCAATAAATGATTTTCAATTAATGCAAGTTTGGTCAGCATAGGGTTTATAGTTCCTAGAATGACATCTGCTTCAAAATCTTTAACTTGGTCGATCATCGGCTGATAATATAGGTCAAATCCAGCATCCGAAGCAAGTCTGGTAGTGTGCATCCTTAGGTGTATCATTGTGCAAGTTTGGTCAACATAGGGTTTTCAATCACTATAGAATGAACCTGCTCCAAAAACTTTAACCGGGTTACTTATCCGGAAAATGTATGTCTGATCCAGCATCCGAAGCAAGGCTGGTAGTGTACATCATTAGATGTAGCATCTATGCAAGTATGGTCGATATATGGTTTACAGTTACTTGGAAATGATACCTGCTCCAAAAACTTTAATCTGCGCAAACCACGGCCAAAACGTACGATCCTCTCCCATTCCTAAGAAGGTTATGAGCTTACTCCGGGCCGCGGCTTGATACATAAAGGTGAAGAAAACGAACAGTAATCAATCTCATAAATCCAGTAAACAAAAAGAATCGTCACAGAACAGGGCAAAAACATGGAACCCTAGAAATAGCAGAGGTGAGATCAGGTGCCCACAAACAGATAAGCTGCCTTTAATCTGGGTTGTTGAATTCCTTGTAACATCAAATTATTTGTCATAGCTTGTCTTGGTTTAAAAATTAATCAGTTTTCAGAGCATGCTCTTTCGTACTGAATCCCATGGGAGATATTATACAATTATTGCTGGTTTTTGAGGTCAATACGATGATTTAGACACCTGAGGAGTACAATATTCACAGAGCCCGAAGGGCGAGGTGAATATTGTACTTCGAAGGTGGCTACATCATCGTATTGACCGAAAAAACAGCAATAATTGTTTTATTATATGATTCAATGATTAAATGACACATACTCATTAAGCAATCCGTGCCATCTTACTTGTTCACATCTACTGAAGTACTAGCAAACTACTTACATACTGAGAGAATACTAATTACTAACTTTCATTACTAACATAATGAGAGAAACGGGCTTCAAAAAACAGTAAGTGGTATTATTTTGGAATTTTTAATTCCAGTTTAGGTGAAATGTAGAAAAAATAAATGTCAGGCAAATATATAGGATTGATGTTGAAAAGGGGGGCATTAATATTAAAAGGAAATAAAATTGACAACTTACCTGAAAACAAATCTTTGACTACCCCCCCCCCCCCCCAAAAAAAAGGGGAAAGAAGAATTCGCCCAAATCAAAATTTTATTTGGTGGGATGTAAAGATCCATAAACTTTTCGAGGGGAGGGGCTTTCATTGAAAATTTTTGCCCTTAAAATTTAAATTAAAACTTAACATTCTCAAAAGGTGGGGAAAGGGGCAGGCCTGCCGCAACCCCCCCCCCCTCCGACCCCTCACCCAAGAATCGATGTGCCTTAATGTTATGTTCATATGAGTGGATGTCAGGTGCGAGTGAAATAACTTTCCAAAACTATTTTCGTCGATTTGGAATTTCCCTAACTATTTTTGGTCCAATGTAAAATAAATAATTCCTTATATTGACCTGGAAGATCACGTGCAGGTCAATATACCGTAGTATTTTTCCTACATTGTTGGCTCTCAGCCAATTAGAGAGATTGGAATTATTCAATCATATAATAAACACATCATATACAGGTGATATTGGAATATTGCTATATAAATAACGGAAGTTGACGATGGAAAAGCTGAAGTCACCTTGTTTATCATATTAGTTGGCCATTATCGTCAGTAAAACATCCAAATACGAAACATATGTGACATACTCTGTAGTGCTTTTCGACTTCACTGGGATATATCGGGACACAACCTTAAATTAGCTTTGTTTTGAATTATTCAGCGAATACATATTGTACTGGCAAAATTACTGAGGGGGCACACCTGTAAATTTATATTGGCTTCCTTTTCTTTTGTGAAATATATAATATACTGTCAAAATTATTGAGGAGGCACACCTATAAATTATCTTCAATTTCTTTTTTAAAGTATATGCAAAATTATTGCCCCAAACACCGATTTTTACGGGCCTATTTAGATCATTGTGGCAAGACAAAAAAAGACACCTGAAATCATATTTAAGACGTATTTCATGTAAAATTTTCTGCAACTCCCATTTCATTACTTTCAAAATATATTGGAGTTTTCTATATCCCCACTGACCTAAATGTAATCCTGTTTAAAAAATGTGAAAATTTAAAGAACTTACATGAAATGAAAAGATTTTATTCTATGCACCATAATAACACTAATACATGTATTTCAGTCATTGTTCAGTTCTGTTATTTTGACCATTACACAAAATATGCAGCCAACTGGGCCATTTTGTCCTTGGGCTTAGGTCTGCCTCTTCCTCGTCCCCTCCCCCTTCCCCCTCTACCTCTGCCCCGCCCACCCCCTGGTCTTCTGCGACGCATGATAGCATGATGTTTCTCCACCAGGTTTTTCAATATAGAGTCACAAAATACACAACCTGAATGTTTCGTCTCTTTACTAGGCAGTGGTGTCTTGTCCTGTGAAGAAAATAATTTAAAAATCAAACACTGTTCAATAATATTGGCTTGGAATCTTTTTCTTTCGATTTTCTAATAATCTAAATTTTACTATATTTCTATTTCTGAATGATGTTTAGTATTTGAAATACTATTTTACCAGTATTTTAACTTTGCATGTTCAATATCAGGTAATTTGTTTGCTAGTCTACATAGTAATAAAATGAAATAAGCCACTGATTGCTTTCTCACCTTATTGAAATCCACATCTACAATGTGAGCCCCGCAATCATCACAGATCTCCTCAGAAACACTCACTTTGTGGGCATTCTCAAATATGTTTATTACCACCTGACACCTGCAATCAAATTATCAATATCAGTGGTTTGGACTAATTTCTTGCAATATGTGGGGGAACAATCATTTTCAAATATAGTTTTATAGAACAAAATGTAGTATAAAAGTCATATTTCACAGGTTTTGCATGAAATGCATGAACTTGAAAGATTTATTGTCCACTGAATCCACTGAATCTGAGTTAGTGTTAAAGCAAGAGAACATGCATTATACATAATGGTTTTAAAAAGATGTACAATGGAAACAAACATTGGTGCAATTGTTTTGACTTATTCAAATTCTTCCATAGAAAAGTATTTTTCCAATGTAACAGCTTTTATTGGTCCTAAAATCTCACTTATTGCACGCCATCCTCCATTTTGGTCCCGAGGTGGGATCCAGTACCAGTATGCCTGTCTCACATTCTACACACTCACAGACCCCGTGCTGGGCCAGGGCATGTTGACACGTGGGGTGGGTACACTGGTTACAACCGAACTGTTTACGCATGTCAGGGAACGGAGGATTGTTGTAGCAATAGGGACATAGGGGGAAACTCTGAAATTCAGATTTATCTGTATATCATGTTATTCTTTATAATTTCAATATTTATATACATTTCCCCCCTTCATTTTCAAGATAAAATTGCTTGGTCAAAATTTAAACATACTTTGTCATATTCTGATATATACATGTATAGAAGTGCATTGTTTTTATTTTCACATTTCTTGTGAATAATACACTCAAATATTTTTTTCTAAACTTCACAAGACATCTTGGTTTTCGAACAATATTTATTCAAGAATTGAGAGTCGTGTTTAAAACTTCAATAGTAACTTTCTGATTTTGCATTTAGTAGAAAATCTGCAAAAGAGGCACAATCTTAACCCAAATAGTGATCTTCTTTAAATTACAGTACCTTGCCTTTGGCTCCAGTTGTCCACAAAACTAATTCAAAGTCATCAAGTGGGCATTTGAGTTCTTTGTATAACTTGATACTACCATTCTGAGGCAATGAGAAGGTCTCATCACAATTGGAGCAGTGAAGTCTACTTGGTTTGGCTTGTACATATTTCATGAAACGCCTGCATTTTCCACATCTAAAATGAAGAAATTATGTATATTGTGTAATTATGCTTTCAAATGAAATCACTTGCATAAAAACAATTTTAAAAAATTAACTTATTCAATTATTACTTTTTCAGTCAAACACTCAACAATATTTTTGAAACTGTTTTTTTCTGATTTTATTATGAAAGAAATTAAAATAAAGTAATGTTTAAACTATACTTCATAATTTCAATATCTTGACAAGCGTGATAACCTAGAGAGTGGTTTTCCAGTCGCTGCAAGTGGAGAGAAGCTAACTTCAAACAATTCATCCATCCCACTGATGTTCTCCACAAAGAATTTAAATTTAAGGCAGAAAATGTTCAAGGCATGCTTTAGGACATCTTCATAATAGGCTTTTCCTAAAGCAATCAGATTCAGTTGTTTTTCCACTGCAGATCTCATGGTGGGTAATACTAGCTCAACATCAATCTGGAAGTTTGGGTTTTCAATTCATTGAAACAATTAAAGTTAGAGAAAAATTTGCACAATTTTTATATTAATTAACCACATGAATTAATTAATAGGTGATGATCACTCAATGAGTGACTAAGTACATTTAAGAAAACAAAACCTATACTGTATAAAAAATTGAAGTGAATAAAGCAGACAAACGGATGACCTTTGAAATTTTCACCTTGATATCACTTCTTTGTGGTTAATACATACATGTGATATGTACCGCCGGTACGCAAAATGTACAGGTTTTTCGAGCCCATTCATCGTTTACCGCGGGGACACCAAAATTCACGGAATATGAAAATTTGTACAGTATTTTGAATTTCTCACTAAATGTCGCCATTTTCCTCTCATTCTCGCTCGTGAGACACTGGAAAACGTCACCTGTGTTTGACACTTGACCTTCTGATAATTGTGAAATGTACACAAACCATCGCGTGCGAAGGTGTGAACTGCCAATTGGGATAATTATCTTGCTATAAATCCGTATCAAGATACCCCTTTAGGTAGCTTTATTTTTAAAGGGGTACTTAATTATAACTGTTAATGTTTCGTAACTTGTTTGAAAAAAATTAGGCCAACTTCTTAAGTTCATATACATGACTTAATATACATGAAACTGACCCAGATCTTCGTAGGTATAAAATATACGATGTTTATTACCATGACTACGCTGAAATAAAGGATATAGTTTTAAGTTTTTATGTGCTGAAATTTATGTATAAATTTTTATTTGCTACTGTTATTTAGCATTGATGATATATATATCGGTAATATGAGCAAGATGTAAATTGGAGACATTGACTCTCATGTTAATACTATATAAAGCTGGCAAACAAACTATCGTCTAAACTAGCTTAATTTATAGTCGATTCATAAGAACATTGTGATTATAAAACACAATATATGAAATTTTAAAGCATTCAAATCTCCATTACAACTTTTAAAATAAGACATTTGCAACAATATATATTTGTAGGTTTAGAAATAAGGTGCCTTATCATCAGAATTTAAGCGATATTTTATACCGTTTTTTGATAGGCAGTGTACAGTTTTTTCACCCAAATTCCAGTTTTTTTTATGGCTCCTGTACAGTTTTGTGGTCTTTGACTTATCACATGTATGTTAATATACAATGCTAAATGAAAAATCCAGTTACAAAACTTACTGTAAAACATACAAAAAACTTTGACAGATGTCTATTTATCAAGTATTGTATACAGGAAAATTTTTGTCCCCCCTTGAGGCAAATGAGTATTTAAAAGGGTGAAATCAAAGAAGACAGAGCCCTTTTTTTTAACACAACTGGTCTTGGCAATTTAAAAATGAGGCAAAATCATTTACAAGAATGATAGAGCAAAAATAAGACAGGCAAAAAATAACCATGTATATAACATTTTTTCTATGACTTCTGACCTTTTGGTACCCATGCACTAAGACAATGCCCAGAGTGGTGGGCTGTAGTCTCCTCCCACTAGTGACAGTGACATAGTTCCTCTCGCTGATGTTGTTGATGTGGACAGGGATACTGGCGTCTGTTCCAATGCCATGTTTCTCCATTAGAGAAATCAGCTCGGCCTCCGTCAGATAATCAGGAGGATTCGTGTGTTTCTCCACCATCTTCACCTAAACGACAACAGCAGATTAACGACAAGACATATACCTGCTCATCATTTTTTATCCTAAATATCAATATAACTATCTTGTGATTCAGATTACTATTTTACATATTTTTGATAGTACTACTAAACAAAATTTCCATGATGTTTTAAAATTTCACAAATCAATGCTTCTGATGTTACTTTGGGACTATTTTTAGTCAACCAAAAGGTTAATAGTACATAAGAGTTTGTATACAAAGGGATATACATGTAAGAAAAAAAATTCCACATACAGTAGCTAGCATAATTAACTCCTACATTGTATGTAAAAATTTTTGTTTACAGGATTGGACCCTCAATGTAACAATTTATTACAATACTAGTAAATAAATGTACATGTATTTATTTATCATAAACTGTAAATTCCCTGATAATGTTTACCTCTGCTATGTCATAGTCAGTGTTCTTTTTGAACTCCGGCATTAACCACTCATCCTCCAGTGATTTCCAGGTCATAATGGCTGTGAACCCTGGGTCAGTGACCCTATAACCTGTACAGCTGAACTTCTCGGCCCCGATCTCAAAGTACGCTGTAGTTTGTAAGTATTTACAGTCTGGGGATATCTGCAAGATAAAAGTTCACGTCAATATCACTTAAAACTATGGTAGATTACTCCAATGGACTTGCTAGCTTTCTCTGATTTATCTCTCTTTAGAAGGAGAAAACCATGCATCTACACAAACTTGGTTTCCATTAATTTACGTGTGCCTTTGTTTAAAGTTTGATTGCCTTTGTTTAAGTTTGGTCACCTTTATTTGAAGCTTGGTTGCATTTGTTTAAAGTTTGGTTTCATTTCTTTTAAGTTTGGTTATGCATTTGTTTAAAGTTTGGTTGAAATTATTCCCTGGATCAGTAGATGAAAATATAAAAAAAGATTTACACCATACAGAATGAAGGAGTCAGAACACACTTTGATTTGAAAATCACCCTATACCATTAGTCCATGTCTGCTATTATCAATCAAATCTAGACATACTGTAATTTAAATTTAGTAAAGAATTTCTTTTAAACAGAATTGATGATTCCTCTTTTACAAAACCATGGACAAACTTACAGTAGCTATAAAGTATCTTGTGATGAAGTCATACAATCTCCAGGCATCATGGCCTAACTCTGCCTCTGTAGCTGGTTTCATTGGAGTTATAGGAGGGTGATCTCCAGCATCAGAACCCTTCCTATAAATATCATAGGTTTTTCCTCACTAAATATAATCTTTAATGACAAGGAATTTAAAAAAAATCAGAGTTTATAACAATATGTATTTGAAGGAATATTAGAGAAAACAAAAATCTTTTCAGGATAATTACAGAGTTAATGTCCTTGACATCTTGAACAGGTTCATTTACCAACAGGTGTCAGGTGACAGTGTCAACACAATTAGCATCTGTATCTTGTTTTATCATCAGTTTCTAGAGTATTCAGTAACTTACTTTGGTTTTTGTATTCCCTCCCTCAGTAATGTCTGTACATAGTCTCCCCATACCGAGCTTGATGACTGCTGCCTTAGTGTGCCACTGAAAAATCAAAATACCATACTGAGACATAACTCAACAACTGAACTGAGGTTAGGTTTATTGAGTGCTGACTTACTGAGTTCAAGACAGAAATTGTTTAGATGTCACAAACTACATATTGTACAAGTGTAGAGTCAAACTCTGACCATTAATTTTAATTAACTGTAATTTTAATTACAGTTAAAAATTGCTTTCATTCCAATACAGTTCAGCCTGGGTGGTCTGGATGCCAATAATCATGGGGCTTCACCTTCCAGATGAAATATGTGGGGAACAGAGTTTACATTTATATATATACCAAATATAAAAGGATGTTTCAGTAATTCAGATGATTCATTAATGATTTGGTTGGGAAGTCAATTGTCCGGATTAACAAAGCTTGAATGTACATGTCCATAGTACTTTATTAATGAAAATCTAACTTTGTGAAGTTTTGAACAAAAATGAGAGACACTCTTCAATTTTTAATCTCAGATCTGGTCAATATCATCGTTTGGATATGGATTCCTTTGCATTAATTAAACCAAGAAGTTCAGATGAAAGTCCTCTAAACTTGCTTTTATTTTGTTGATTTCTTGACAGTTGTTAAAGAATAGACTTACACTAGATCAAAGTTCTCTGGGTACTGTGTTGTCTCTGTTCTGGGGTAACTGATGTAGCCTTGTACATATAATTTCTCTGCAATCTGCATAGCATACTGGGGCCCCATACCTGTAAAGAACAATATAAAGTTGTTTTTTTTTTTTAATTTAAAAAGCTTGGTTTCTTTTCACTTCGTATTAATCAGCATAAATTTTGTCCTGAAAACAGGAATGTCTCTTTAAATTCATTGATTTTATTATAAAAGAAAGAAAAGGGAGAAAAAAAAAAAGTTTTACTGGCTTATAAAAAAACCAAACAAATAAATCATGAATTTTTAAAAAAAATTTAATGATATTCTACATGAATCATATTCAAATTGGTGGCAAGAGATTATTGAAACTTGATGAGTTTTAATCTTGCTTTTAAACTTAGGGTACATGTGAGAATACTGAACCTACCAAGACCTGAACTTGCTGCCCTCAACATTTCCACAGTGTTCAAAGCCTGAGGTCTCGATTTTGACTTAACATCCTGAGTCACTTTTAGAACCCTGAAAAATTTGACAGATGTAGCAAAGGAATTATTGTTGACTAAGAAGCTATACATGTACATGTGACACATTTTATGTTATGTATAGAATTGAGGAAAGGGAGGAGAGGAAATAGTTTTGCTACAGGAAGCTTTGACTTAATAACAAAACTGAAATAAGTTCTCAATGCATGAGGCTTTCATAAAGCTTGCATACTTCTCTATTTATACTTCACTTTGTCATTCTCCAATCTTCTCAATCCAGTTACAGGTTCACAGTAAGTTCCCAACCCCAATCTAACTTTTTTTCCAAACTTATAAGTGATGCCTTTATCATTAGTGTTACACTTACCTGGCTGAGTCTGATGATTTGATCATGTTAACACACATCCGGGCCACCTCCTTACCTGGCTGAGTCTGATGACTTGATCATGTTAACAAACATCTGGGCCACCTACTTACCTGGCTGAGTCTGATGATTTGATCATGTTAACAAACATCTGTGCCACCTCCTTATCAAACACCCTCACTCTCTCCCAGTCAATGTCCACTGTTCTCCCCTCTGGTAATGTCAACTGTTAAGAACAGTTCTCTTGATAAGAATATTATCATAGTATTATTTCATTATAAACCACACTTAATTTCTAATATTAATTTAAATTACATAGATCCATCTTATGGCTCTATAAAAATACCTGTGTATATAGTTTAACAAATTTTTAAGAAAAACAATAATAGGAACTAGCATTGTCCTGATAGGACTAATATCCCTATGGGGCTAAGTTAAAAACTTTAAGAAGAACTCTGCCAGCCTGATAAAACTTATAACGCAAATTCCAAAGGCCTGAATCTTGGCCTGAATAGGCGTGAAAACCTGTATTTGTGATGTGTACAAAGAATATTACCATCCACAGTCCAAGCATTAAAATGTCCCTTCTGAACTCTGTGACCTTGGCCTTGTCTAAATGACCTTTGTTCAGAGTCAACATACTCTGCAATCATAATTAACCCTGAAGGCAGGCATAGTTTATAGTTATTCATTATAAATTATGCTATGGACAAGAAATTTACACTAACATCCAGTGACCTTGACCTTGTCCAATGATCAGGGTTGTTACATACACTCTGATCACAAGCTACCTTGGGTCACATATACAAGTTGTAATCTACTAATTTTTTTTCCACTTCAAAGTTATGACCAAAATAAGAATTTATATTTCTAAAACCAGTGTCCTTGACCTTGTCCAAATAACCTTGAGTTAAGGTCAGAATATATCCTCAAGTCACAAATAGCCTTTGTTTCATGTATCAGATTCTAATGTTTCTCCATTTAAAAGTTATGGCTATAACAATAATTTAATAATTTTGTACCTGTGACCTTGAAGCTTGACTTTGCCAGAATGACCCTGGTAAAGTATCAAGTATGAGTCTCTAAAACTTCTGTGTTTCAATGTTTTGTCCAGACAATAATTTCAACTCCTCTTTTTTCTGCCAATGAAGTTATTGTAGAATAAAATCTTAAAATATTCCGAATTTAATTTTTGAATTTAGACAAATCAATCAGAAAAATACCAAGTACACAAGTTCAAATGGTAAATATAAGTCTTTACAGTTTGTCAGAACAATATTTAACAGTTTTAGAGATAATCTCTGAACAATATATTCTACAGACAGACATATTGATTCCAATATACCCACCTAAACTTAGCTTGCAGAGATATGATTAGGGTTTGTAACAAGAAAGTATTTTATTTGCATACACATTTAAGAATGTAAGTTTTGATTGTCAGTTGACCAAAGTATTGACCACACTACAGTCATGTACAATGAGAACTTACCTTCACTTGAATGACCCAGTAAGGTTCTGGTTTAAAGGATTGTATTTTATCATGTCTGTCCACACAGAACCCAAGGGTGGGAGTCTGACAGGGACCATAGGATATCAGGGTACTGTCCAAGTCCCCATACTTTCCCTTAAAATCAAGTCAATAAATCAAACATTTCTCTTAATTGAAAACAAAACAAAAAGCAAATAATTATCAATAAATGCATTTGTAATAATAATCTATGTAATAAACAAGTGGTGTGTGCTAAAATATTGTACATTCAGTGATGGTGGGCAGCACAAATAAACTACGTTTAGTCTCCATGTCTTACAGTACTAATTTTAGCAGAACTCCTTACCCTTTCTCATTAGTGTACTAATTCATGGTCTCTACCAAAACATGAATTCCCATGTATATTATGAATGCACACACTTAACACAAACACCTACAGCACTAATTCATGCAGTACTGTGTCCACACAACCTAAAGATATGTTTAATTCTGAGTACCCTATAAGAACTTCGCATACAGTAAGTTCAATGTTTTAAAAGAGTTTGTCAAACCTGGAAATACTTTGTCTGAAAGCGAGTGAAAGCACATCCAATTCTGAGGTCTAACTCTTGTCTGGCATCCACTGACAATGCCTCATTCTTGTTTGGAGTGATCAGGCTAGACATGGCACTTTTAATATCCTTGTCTGTGATCGCGCTAAATTTTGCTCTGTACACCGACTTAAAAAAATAGATATCTTTCTACAACAGCAGCAACAGAGATAAATACTCAGAGCATAAATATTATACATAAGCTTAATTATTAAAAGTGGGTTGAAAGAAAAATTTTACATTTGTGGTATTTTTAAGTACATTAATAATAAAAGAGTCAGTATAAATACAGAAAAAAAAATTCTTCGAATAAAATTACGTGTATTTAAAACCTGTATTGGGACAAAACAACATTTACCTGTCCTGAAACTCGATTCATGCTTGCTTTAACACAGTCAATCACTTCAAAACAAATGTTTTCCCCCTCTTTATCGCAGTCAAGCCATAAGACCAAGTAATCTGAGCCTCTAGCCTACAGCATATAGATTTATAGTAATTAAGCTATGATGTTACTTAATAAAAAAACAATAAACATTAAAAAACACACATTGCTTAAATTGAAAAAGGATTTATCATGTACATTTACCTCTTTTTCTAAGAAACTTGGCATGCGCAACTTTTCTGTTGCCTCTTTCTTTGTGGTTGGTGCAGTAAACAATTCTACCTGTATAAAAGACGATGAATAAAAAAGTCTGTTCATCATCAGATTTTTTCTTAATCTTGAGAATTATAAGCATGATAAGTGTACCTTTGAAAGCTTTTTCATTATTTTTGTCGTAGGGTGGATATACCTTGAGGGGGGAGGGTGTATAATGGAACTCAAATTCATCCCCTTAGCCTAAGATTTTCAGTCAGTGCTATATAAATGACAATTGACATAGTGCACCAATTAAAAAGGCAGGCCCAAGAGTGAAGACAGGACTAGATGGAAGGATATTGTGAAATATGAAGAGAACAGACAGTATTCAATCTCCAAAGTCCAAGGAAACAATACAAATTTGGAGCAGAGCAAACATGGACCTCTAAATTTAGAGGTGGGATCAGGTGCCATGTAGGAGTGAGCATTCCATGCTGACCGGTCTCTCCCGTCGTGTGCTCCTTGTCATAGATATGGCAAGAAATTAGTGCTGACTTTCACCTATGTTCAATTGTAACCCTGTTACAAGACTATTTAATCCAGTAACATAGGTTACATATATCTCTCAATTAAAGATGGTGGTCATTTAAATCCAAAAGGGGTCTTAAAATTTTTAGGTTACACTGGTTACAACTATATTCCATTGGTGATAATCGGTTACAATGGTTACAGATCATCTAAAACCAAAAGGGGTCTTTATTTTTAGGTTACACTGGTTACAACTATATTCCTTTGGTGACAATCGGTTACAATGGTTACAGATCATCTGAAACTGAAAGGGGTCTTTATTTTTAGGTTACACTGGTTACAACTATATTCCTTTGGTGACAATCGGTTAAAATGGTTACAGATCATCTAAAACCTAATGGGATCTTTATTTTCAGGTTACACTGGTTACAACTATATTCCATTGGTGACAATCGGTTACAATGGTTACAGATCATCTGAAACCGAAAGGGGTCTTTATTTTTAGGTTACACTGGTTACAACTATATTCTTTTGGTGACAAATCATATAAAATCCAAGTGGGAACTTGTAGATACAGATGTAACCACTGTAACCAGTGTAACCAATTAATAACTGAATAAATGAAAAATGCTGACCTGTTCAGCAGAAGCTGTGTTACTGGTTACAAATGAAGATAAGAACTAATCACTTTGTACATGTTGTAACCACTGTAACCAGTGTAACCCTGTAACCTTTGTAACCAGTGTAACCAATGAAAAACTGAATAAATGCTCCTCAGTGTAAAGGCTATGTAACCTGTGTTACTGGTTACAATTGAACATAGGTGAAAGTCAGCACTAAATTCTTGCCATATATGCCTTGTCATGATCAGAAGAAAAAAAAGGAAAAATCTGTAGACAGTAGCCTATGATATGAGTGGCCTATGCTTCTTCATGGAGCAAACGGCTTATAAGCAATTAAGCTAAGCATGGTAAATTACATGTTTGTTTTGCCTTGGAATAGAACAACACTCTTCACTAGATAATAGATCCACATGCCTGCCCTCAATATTTCTTTGGACGGTGAGTAGTATACTTTGGACGGCAATATGGTGGCAGAAAAAAATCATGCTAGTGTTATTTACACTTTTAAAAGAAATTAATAAATTTTCATCTTTACCACTTGGTAATGCTGCAATTAAATTTAATGTAGCCACCCCTTTTCAGTGACATAATCAGTAAACAACATTATCATTGAGAGATGGAGACTTGCACAGATGAGATAATCATTATAAACATGTTTAAGTCGTAATGTTAGGTTTGTTAACTGTAATTGATCCTAAACAAAGCAAAACACTTATTACATATGCTACTGACTGTCCACAGAAATATATTGGGTTGTTTCAAGCCTCATTTTGGGCTTAACCCCCACCCCCCTTCCCGAAAATTTACAATCTAGATTCAAATTTTTGATTATTTCAGTGATACATACAGGGTCGACTCTATCCCAGCTGTTGTATTTTCCAATAAAGTCCAGACCAAACACATGTCCACACACCGATGTCACTTTATATGAAACCGTCTCCCCTGTCGGGGGGAATCTTCCCTTGTATTCGTGAATTGAACAAGCTCCATTAAATCCCTTTCTGGTACTCATCTGTCCTCCAGATAAAATCTTCGCGATGGACTGGGCCAAAGACGGTTTTTCGGCAACCATGAAAACCGTCTTCATGATGCACTATATATGTTTTAGCCGACCGTCAGATCTAACAGAAGACGGCTCATTAAATTCTGAAGAAATTCGAGTTACATTCGAGTTCTAGATAATTTGAACTTAAAATGTTTCCGTTTATAGATTTACAAATTAAACAATATATTTCTTATTCAAAACTTGCAGAAAAATTGTTTGTGTGAATAATTATATCAGAATATTTTCAGTTTTCTCATTAACAGCGCCCACCTACGTAACTTTGGCACTGCTGTTCTTCATCAGATCCCCCCCCCCTTGTAAAACTTATTGTGGCCCCACCCTATCCCAGGGATCATGATTGGAACAATTTAGAATATACGCTACCCCAGGATGCTTCCAAATAAGTTTTAGCTTTTCTGGCCCAGTGGATCTGGAGATCAATATTTTTAAAGATTTTTTCATTACATCTTAATGTAAAATTTTGATTCTCCATTGTGGCCCTTCCCTACCCCTTTGGGCCATGATTTGAACAATTTAGAATCTACACTACCTCAGGAAACTTCCATATAAGTTTCAGCCTTTCTGGCCCAGTGATTTTTGTGAGGATTTCTTAGTGACACCACTTTTTCTTGATTATCTCCCCTTGTAAGGGGGCTTGGCCCTTCATTTTAACAATTTAAACTCCCCTTCACCCAATCATGTTTTGTATCAACTTTGGTTAAAAGTGGCCCCATGGTTCTTGAGATTAAGAAGTTGAAAATGTGAAAAGTTTACAGACAGACGAACAGACAACAGGTGATCAGAAAAGCTCATTGGGCTTTCAATTCAGGTGAGCTAAAACACTGATATTTGTTTAAATTTATTATGTTATTCATGTCTCTGATAATATCTAGGTCATGAAATGTATTGTATTAACTGTGTTTCACCATAAAAAAAATTGATAAGTTGATGTTGATTGATTTGTGATACAAGTACATGATTTTAGTATCTCAGCACCCTCATCAGAAGACAGCTCCCCATGAAAGATGCTCAAGGCATTTAAGCAATCTTACTAACATATTGACTTGCAGGCATCTAAAGTGTAATTTTCATGCATAATCTGACACTGACACATCAACATGATGGGCAGATGTAATAAACCTTAATTGGAATTAAAAAAAAAACACACACTCAATTCTGAAAGATGTGCCACAAACATTACAGAGGTATTATGTCAGGAAGTTGATCTTTTCTTCTTGACCCGAGGTCAACATGATGGGAGGGTGCCGAATCGTCAACATGATGGGAGGGTGCAGAATCTAAAAAGAAGCTACCTACCAAAATGAAAGTCATGTCAAAAACACTTCAAAACTCACGTCTAAACTTCAAAATTTGTGAATTCATTACTTATCTATGTATAAAACTAGGGAAGGGGGATCCAGGGAAAATCCTTAATCTTATCACTGATTTATGTTACATAAAATAATTATATAAGCATAATAAATCAGCCTCAAATACACAGTACCAAAACAACACAATTAGTGCTGAAAGCTCTGTTCTTTATTACCTAATGCTGTAACCATTAGTATCAAAGCAGGAATTAAAACAACAGTCAGTAAAAGTAAACATAATTACTATAAAAAACATAACTCATAAATCAAACTTGTAGACATACATGTATGGTAGATCTAGCTTAAAAATGGATAATTTCTTTATTTGTTTCATAAATTATTAGACATAAATAATGGAATTGGGTAAATCATGGCACTCAAACATGAACTTAAAAATATAATTAAAAAAATTGTCAACCAAGGATCATATATACATGTATGTATCAAAAATCATATACGATTACAGCATAATAAATGTTTTAATTAGAGATCTACCCTCTATTGCACAATATGTCTATATCTCTTTGATCAACACCATTACAAGTAAAACACACTGATATTCTTAAGGAGTAATTTAAAAATACATACAAAATTAGGGAGAAAAAGTGGGGAAAATATAAAAAGAGAGAAAGAAAAGCTTAAAAAGAAAAATGGAAATACATATCTGTCTGTTCAGTTGAACAATGATACCCAAATAACTTGAATGACTAAATACAGTTGTAAGATATCCATTTAAATGTATTTCCTTAACCTGAGGTTAAAAAATCCTATACATGTATTACAGAAACACATTTCTCTCTTCATCACTGACATTGCATTGTGCCACCTCAAAAATGCTAAAATAAAAATCTGCTGATAATTTTACAGCCATTTTGATTACTTCTGATGTTACAGAGACTAAGATATACATGTGCATTTTAATGTTCTCGATAAAAATGCTTTTTATGTTTGATTAAAAATGTCACCGGACACTGGATTTTTGCATGGCAAGTATACATTTCTAGAAAATCCTACCAGCTACATGGGTATCTTGACTTCAGCCACTTGTCAGATGTGTATCCTCACATCTTTCACAGAGACAAGAGGATATGAGTCAGACATTTGTTTTAAAATGGCTACATGTTAATCTATAGTGAAGCATATTAAAACTGTGTAACAAAAAGTGACCAATCTTTAAAACATTTTACACAACAGATAAATAGAATCAAACTAATATAATCTAACAATTAAAATATTCACATATCAAATTTTCCTAAAGAAAGAATGCAAAAAAATTAAAGGTAAATGCAAAAAAAAAAAACAATTCAAAAAGTGTTCCCTAATAATTTGTACACAAAGTACCAACACTCAAAAAAAGACAATAAATCTATAAAACTAAATATATAACAGCATGAACAACATATAAAGAAAAATGCTTTAACATTCCTTTTGATATGGTACAGAATTATGTGTATAATATGATTGCTATAGCATTTTGGTTTCAAAGTTTTGAAGGAGATTTCTGACTCAGTACCAATATAATTACATAAAAATGTACTGTATATGTTATGAAATCTGATTCCTTATTCCTGATAAATTAATAATTTAAATTTTGATGACCAAAGTACATCTATATTATGAAAATTGGTGTTGTTAATCTGATATTCCAAGTTTCTTCTTGATAAATGCCGACATAATTCTTTGAGGACGTTGTTGCCATTCCTCCATTACATCATGTGGGGTAGAGATTTGGTCCCCTTTCAATCTGTCTAGGAGTGTCACACACAGTACAGCACCTACAATTATAATGGACATATAAGTGAGCATTATTTATGTAAAGTTAAACACAGATAATCAAAATTTACAAAGTTCACCTCACCAGATGTAATACATATCTGGGTTGTCTCACAAATGACTGATCAATGAGACACCAAAATTAGTTCAATCAAATAGTGTTTCAAACATCCAGTAATTACAACATCTGAAATATGACTGAAGTATGTATGCACTTCAAGACACTTGATCATCTCCATAGTTTGGTGCTAGGTGCATGGCTTACACATGTAGGGCTAGGAATAGACCTGCTCCAAAAGCTTACATGGCCCCTCACCAGAAAATAAGGGTTACTCAGAGTTAGCATCCAAGATATGCTTGGTCATACACATATACAGATGCATCATCCATGCAAGTTTGGTCTTTGGGTGGCTTCTAGAGTTTAAGTTAATTAGAATGCACTTGTTCCAAAACTTGTTCACTTATCCAGTAAAAATAATACAAACATAATTCAAAGTAGAGTTTGTACTATGTATACTTTGTTGAATCATCAATGCAAGTTTGGTCCGTTTTCAAGTACCTTTAAGATACTTGGGAAAGGATCTGCCCCACACATTTTAACCTGGTCACTTGTAAAGAAATTAAAGTTTAGACTCAGCTTCAAAGAAAGACTGGTAGTAAGCAACTCTTATTGTATCATCCATGCAACTTGGTCTGGGTAGACCCTTTTAATAGATACTTGTAAACTGGACCTACTTCAAAAAAAAAAGCCTAAAATGCCTATGATGACATTGACAGTTTATATTAAGCATAAGCTCATCTTAGCTTCCTTGAAGTGAGCTAAATATTCAAAGTGAGCCAAAAATTCTTACTTTTGACACCTGCCCTGTGGCACATGGCAGCAAAACACAATGATTCCATTTCAATATTGGCAATTCCCTTTCCATGAGCTCGTTTGAGAAAATTCATCTTATCCTCCTCAGTGAAGTCACAAAATGCTCCATCCAACCTGCCCTGACCTTGAAAAGTAAAAAAAAAAGATATTATTTAAAAGGAGTATTCAAAAAGAAGTTTAACAAAATAAAATGGTTCATTGAAACGTCTTGCATATTATAACTTCAATGATTACTATAAACTGAGCAGTTTGTTGCAAACAGTAGACTTTAGAGCTAATGGTAGACTTTAAGCCTCATTCATAAAGTGATTGAAATAGTTCAGACATTGCCAAAGTTTCTGTTTTTGTTTAGCAAGTCTTATCCACACAAGAGCTTTACAAGTAACACAGAACAGTAAATCTTTTATTTTGCATGTATTTGTATAAAGTTTGCCAATGGCTTTAGCCTTATCTATCACTATTGTCCTAGGTAATGCTATATACAGTCAATTTATTCTATGAAATTTAAACATACATATACAATAATACAACATATACTACCTTCATAGAAGTCATATGTACACATAGTTTTTCCTAGCACTGTCTCGCATCCTATAGATTTAGCTACATCTAAGAGTTCATTGTTCAACATAGGACACAGAAAAGCAGGGAACTGATTAATCAATCCCAGAATTGCCTGCAATCAGATAAAAAAGTATGTGAAATGAACTGCTAAAATTTTATGTAATCTAAATATATATATCTCCCTCATATAATTTACAATAAATAAACAGATATAGGTATCTTTCTTGACTCTGTGGAATTGAAGAAAAATATTTTGAAATGACTCCTATTTTTGCAATTTCCTAATTACAAATACCTCTCCTTAAAAGAGGCATGACTTTGTATTCATTATTATTCCAATTCCCTTTATCCAAGGACGCTATGTGGAAAAAAGCCCCTTGCCTCAGGTGAGCTAAAAAAAAAATTATGTTCACCAGTATGAAGAACCATAAAGTACATACCACTTCCATATATGGTCGTAGAAGGCCATCTACAGCAGCCTCAGATATAACAACTGTACCAGGCTCCAGGCCTGAAAATGAGTAATAAATCTATAATGAATTGGATGTAATTATTCCAGACTTCAAACTTCAGAAATCTACATAACTTCATACCAGTGTTTATAACTACTGTAGATCATCAAATTTTTAAGACAAGTTTTTTTTCATGAATCATGTATATGGTATTTATAAGCGAGACAAAATTTTCATGAATGCTGGTTATTGCTGTAGCTATCCTAGGCTAATAAAAATATGCGAATAAAAAAACTGATTTACAGTATTCACTCTTTTCCAGGTTCAAAGCGTAAGGGTAGTTTATAAATCTATATATGGTACACTGGATATTGAAACATTACAATTTACTTAAAAGACATTCACACTGTCACTTTCCACTTCAACAATATTAAGAGAAAATATTATTTAAAAGCAGGTTGAATAAATCTTCAGGGAATTCACTACTGAATATATACTTATATTTATTTTCAAAACAAAATATCATCTGCAGATTTAGAAAAAGCTATAATTTTAAAAACATCCAATACAAATATTTTCTTATAACTACATGCATAATATGTGTCCCTTAGGGAAGAAAATGATTTCCATCTCTTCATACTGCTTTAAAGCAAAACAAAAAAAGCATAAACAAGTTACAAAACTTTGTAATTTTATTTTATTTACTGAAGTAAAAATTTAAAAATCCTACCAAGTCCACCACTGGTTCCCAACCTGAAGAAGATGACCTCTCCGGGGTCACATCCTGCATGATTCAGCAGTTTTAGGATTTCATGGATCAGTATGGACAAGGAGGGGATTCCCATCCCATGCTAAAATATATGTCTTAAAATAATTCACAAACATTTCACATTCTGTATTAAAATTTGGTCATACATACGCATAATTTACATAATCATTTATGCTACAGTTCACAGTCAGTGACAATACTTATTTCACTTAAAGAAACCATTCAAAAAAAAAAAATTAATGTACAGATGGATATCAACAAAATTATGCATCCTGATGTATTGATGAAATCTGTTCTACATCTGTACAAACTTCAATTAAATCAAGCTAAAATTTTGAAAATGATTTACAGTAGGACAAACAGATGAACAAACAATGGACATGCTACCAATGCTAAGCTCTTCTGGTCATCAATCAGTTGAGGTAAAAAAGTGAAACTATAAATGTTTCAGCACATTAATCCACTTACACTAACTGAGAGAACAGGGCCCACTTTATATAACACATATCGATCTGATCCTCTAGATATATTCTCTAATGTTTGACCAGCAACCATTTTGTATTTCAATTCATCCACCATGTAAAATGCAAATGCCTTCATACGACTTGGTGACCCTCCAAAGCAAACAAACTGAAAGAACAAGAATACAATAATTGCTCTACTTGATAAAAAACAAAGATGTTATTGTTTGATGCACTCAACCCTGATGAAACAATTTAAGATTCATTGACCATCTTATAAGAGAGATAACTCTAACTGAGATTAATGACTATTATTTCCTTAAAGATATTGTCACACAGATTCCCATTTCAATTATAATTCAGATTTCTTTTGGATAATCATTTTTATTGAAGCTAAGTTTTATATGAGTAAAAAAAACAGGGATGATACACCTTAAAAAAAAAAAGCATTTGGTCCAGGTGAGCTAAAAATGGAATAAGGACAAACAAATTCTACTTACTCTAACATCCTTAAACATGTCTTTTAAATCATGATGTTCTGTATCCAACGCTAAATGATAAAGATAGTCCTCCTTCATGGTTGCCAGATTGGCATTTCTTACAAAGCTAGGCTTTGGACTTGGAGGAGGTTCCATGCTAAAACCATTATTAAGTTCAGAAACTTGAGAAAACATTTTTTAAACATGAAGGAATAAGTTGATTAAAAATCAGAGTTTATCCATCATGGAGTACCATAGCCTACAGACACCTTGTTACTAAATTTTGCTGGAATTAAGAACAAAAAATGCCCTGGACAAAGAAAAATGAAGCGATCAGATTTTAATACAGAATTGAGTAAGGATGCAGGATCAGGCTTAATTTTTTCAAAAATATTTTATTAGGCAATGGAAAAGAGAAAAAGATTAAATTCTAAAAAAGATTAATTTCATATGAAAGATGCAGAAATTTCAAAAGAATTTCTTAAATTTCAATCAGGAATAGATAGATGATAGCTTAAGTATTAGAGGTATGTTGACAGATGGTAAATGCCATATCGTTGACATGTTGAGTGATCCCTAACATTGTATTGCTGAGGAATAAGTTGGACTGAGGTGCAGGAAATATTCAATCTCAAATTAGCAGTATAACATATGGTAGATCACCAAATTTATGCAACACTTTCTTCGCAAGATAGTTATTTGGCATTTAAAAGCGAGAAAAAATTTTCATAAATTTTGATTATTGTTGTACATGTTGTATATAATTTAATATTTATACAGTACTTAACAGTACACTGCAGATTAATGAATTAACTATATAGCTATGTGCTGCAAGATCTGGGCCTTTTTTTCCATCAGAATGATATACATCTTTGCAGCTACACAGATACAGCAAACACGCTTATGAAGAATTCAAGCTTATAAAGAAGTGATATTTATTTCCTGTAATTTTAAAACATATTATGAACTTTTAAAATGATTATACAAATTACATGTATATAAGGAATCAAAATTGTTGGTCTACAAAACTTAAATTAGCCATGAGTATGCATTTACTCCATTAGTTTAATGAATCGAGAGTTGTATTCCCCTGGTTAGAATAATCTAACTGTGTCTCGGGACAAACTCTCACCGGGTCCGTAGGACATAATTAGTTTTTAACAGTTTAACGATTGAACGTTCTATCAAGCATTCCCCTCCCCCTTTCCAAAATTAATTGAATAAAAATTTTAAACATCTTACTTTGTGATATCCATGTCATTTTGATCCATAGCTCAAACGTTCCACGGATATAAGGTCGTCGAAGGTTGAAGAATTTCACAGAGCATGCAATTAAAATCACTAAACAGAACAGAAATTCAATATAGCAAGCACTTCCGAGGCAATTAGGAATAGAAAACAAACAGGAAATTAAGGTAAATGTGTGTGAACATGTGTTCCAAAAATTTCACTCTTAAAAATTTCGTGTCATACTGCACTTCCCTGAACTCACCTTAATTTATTAGGAAAATGATAATTTATCCGTACAGTCTACTTTCGTTTTCGAGAAATAAGACACAAAACCGGATGCAAGTCGGAAATCGGATATCCGAAACATTTGTATAGATTTCTCTGTCATAAACAGATAATTATTCAAATGGTACAGAATAATAAAAATACTCACTTATTGATAGCTACAGCCTTTATCATCGGGTCAGATCCAGCTGGAGCGTGTTGGAAATAGGTGTGTGTTTGTGTGGGGTTGGGGGGGGGGGGGTTCAGTTCAATATCATACATGTGACAAGTATGTATATACAGAGAGAGAGAGAGAGAGAGAGAGAGAGAGAGAGAGAGAGAGAGAGAGAGAGAGAGATATTTCCTTTTTTCCATCTTCAAAAAAAGAGAAAATTCTAAATTAAGCAAAGAAACATAATGTTATTAAAATCATTTTTCATGATGGCATATTTCTGCCCCCCCCCCTCCCCTTACATGCATGACTAATTAAGTTTGCATGCGTTCAGCTTTTGGACAATTAATTCAATAAGTTACCCGCCGTAGCTATTCATGCTGGAAAAAATACTAGAGATATTATGAACAATGAACTCACAAAATGATACTGATATATAACGTTACATTCCGTTATATTAGACAATCCACCGTGTAAAAAAATGGCATAACAATTAGTATGAAAAACGTCACGTAGCATTCAACCTAATGATAAGGTCATTGTATCGACTATATAACCTGCGAAATGTACTTGACTTCAAACGAGACTGTTGATATCCTTGTTTCATCAACTTGTTTGTCAATAGCTTGCCTTGTTTTAGAAATTGTTCGTACTTTGAGCATGCTCTCGTGTATCGAATCAACTGAGAGACATAAACCCCCTACTTTTCTAGTAAAAATCCAAATATGAAACAGATATGTCATATTCGGTGGTATCTTTAATTTCAAGTTTACTTGGATATATCGAGTCGATATATAAATGGAAGTAACTATCATTAATCGATAATACGTTGTTGATATACCTAAATGTCGAGTTGAAGGCCACAGCAAGTGTTTTCTTCTCATGTACAAGTTTCTGAACAAATTTTGCTTCATATGAATACCAGTTGAGACTAATAATTATCATTGACCTCAGTCCAAATAATGTTGATCAAACATGGATGACGGTAATACTAGGGATACAAACTATCCTTCACTATTTGGTGATGCTGCATATATGACTCCTACTTTCTGGATAGGGGATCCTGTAGATGCTTTTGGAGTCAATTACCAGGTGATAAGGAGTCCTACGGTATATCTTTATACCACAAGTCATGCTTTCAACTAAACTGCATAATGTTTTGCCAATAAGGATCATAGTATTAAACATTTTTGGAATACTGCATAATTGGATAAATAAACCTGTTAGACATGAAAAAGTGGATACACTTCTTAAAATGACCAACATCACTAAGGATAGACAAGGTATCACACTTAGCCTTGGGTGCTGCGTGTACTGGAACATTTAGTATAAATCCTACACTGGCTATATTTTCTAGACGAGTGATGTAGTTAAAACTTCTGAAAGAGGTTCTAGTATATTTTCAAGTGATTATGCTCAACAATCTGTTTCAGACGCTACATGAGATACACTTTATCCAGTCGAATCTGCATTGCATTGCAACCTTTTATGAACCAAATTGTTTTGTTTTTGTTTTTTAACCTCAATTTTTACTCAGACGCCGTTTTATTATAATTATTATTCCTGACATTAGCTTCTACTTGTACAGATTTAATAAATTTCCCTTCAAAGAAGTGGGAGGGTGTGGACATATTTCATAGAAGTATTAACGTATGAATTATTGAACATTGTGAGAACTGCCTCTCTTTAATTTTTTCATCTTGTTTCAAAAGTACAACTCATTAATTGTGATAATTGAGTTTAGGAACTGCAGTCAATGGCGAGGGACAACAGTTTAAAGGATCCCATAATTGTGTCAAATGTTTTATTATTGACCACTTTTTTTTACCTTGAATTCGGAGAACATCTTTTATATATATATATATATATATATATATATATATATATATATATATATATATATATATATATATATATATATATATATATATATATATATATATATATACTGTCTTTCGGTTGAATTCAAATTCAGTCTGTGGGATAACACATCAACAATGAGTTATGAGTTTCTATAGTAATGGAAAAATAACACAAAGGTTTAGGAAATTACTTTTAAAAAATAAAAATAAATTCAATATAGATATAAAAATGAAATAAATTAAAAACAAATGAATAAAAAAATACATTTTAAAAAATATATTATTCTGCCATTCATATATCTATATTTCTTAAACATTAATTCCTAAAAAGTTTCCTCATTCTCTCCAGAAATCCAGTTCTCTCTGTTTTGTTCTTTATTTCTGTCTTTTTCTTCTGATTTTTCTTCTTCTGAAAAGATATGTGTTAAAAATTGAACTACAGATATATTTTTAATAAAACAGTAAATGAACCACATCAAGGCACAAATTTCAAAAGTGGGATACAGTGAAACAAATTTGTACTCACAGTTAAACATGCATATGATGTTCCACAGAGGAATCTGTACCAGAAAGGCTGTCTTTCCTGGGTATAAATGTAATTAAAGTCATCCTCAGTATCAAAATTTCTCTCCTTCTTCTTTCCTTTCATTCTTTTTTCCTTCAATGTTTCCATTATTTCCTCTTTCGTTGTCTCTGTTTCCTCCTCTTCTTTTTGTTCCTCTAAATTTTCCTCCTTCCCTATATTTGTGTTTGATTTTTCCTTTTGTTTTTCTGCCTCTGACATCAGTATCCTCTTTGCTATGTTTGATTTTCCCTCATTTTCTTTATCTGCAGTATCAATTTTCTTTTCTACATCAGCTTTCTCCACCTGTTTTCCAGCTTCTGAAGTCTCTATATTCCTTTTATCTGACTTTTCCTTCCATCCCTCCTCTGATGGCTCTATCTTATTTCCTTTATCTGACTTTTCCTTCCTTTCCTCCTCTGATGGCTCTATCTTATTTCCTTTATCTGACTTTTCCTTCCTTTCCTCCTCTGACATCTCTATCTTATTTCCTTTGTCTGACTTTTCCTTCCATCCCTCCTCTGATGGCTCTATCTTATTTCCTTTATCTGGCTTTTCCTTCCTTTCCTCCTCTGACATCTCTATCTTATTTCCTTTGTCTGACTTTTCCTTCCATCCCTCCTCTGATGGCTCTATCTTATTTCCTTTATCTGACTTTTCCTTCCTTTCCTCCTCTGACATCTCTGTCTTATTTCCTTTGTCTGACTTTTCCTTCCATTCCTCCTCTGATGGCTCTATCTTATTTCCTTTATATGACTTTTCCTTCCCTTCCTCCTCTGATGGCTCTATCCTCTTTCCTACATCTGATTTCTTCTCTTTCTCTGTTTCTGTTATTTCTATCTCCTTATTTGTGTCTGATTTCCCCTCTTCTGTGTCTCCCTTTAAAGTGTCCATCTTATTTTCTGTACCTGATTTTTCTTCCTTCTTATCTACATCTGATGTATATATCTTGTTTTCGTTGTGTGACTTTTTCTTCTTTCTTGAGTACACCTGATGTGTCTATCTTCTTTTCTGTATGTGATTTCTCTTCTTCTTTGTCTAGACCTGATATGTCTATCTTCTTTTCTGCATCTGAATCGTATCGTTGCTTGATTTCATCTGATGTGCCTATTTTCTTTTTTCTTTTTGACATTCCTTCTGCCTCCACCTCCTCTGTTGTCTCCATTTTCTTTTCTGTCTCAGAATTAACCACATTTTTTTCTGCCCCAGCTATCTCTTTTTTTTATTTTCATAATTTTGTCTGCCTCTGGTTTTTCCTCCTCTTTCTCTGCTTTAGGTTCCTCCTTTTCTGTCTCTGACTTTTCCAGCCTTTGTTCAGCCTCTAATTTGTCTTTCTTTTCCTTTGCTACTGATTTCATCACTACTTTGTCTGTCTTTGATTTCTCCTCCTTACTTTCAACTGTTTTTAGTTTGCTTTTGTCTTCTTTTTCTCCTCGTGATTTTAGCTCATTTCTTCCTCCTGTCTCGGATTTCTCCTCCTTACTTTCAACTGTTTTCAGTTTGTTCTTGTCCTCTTTTTCTCCTCCTGATTTCAACTCATTTCTTCCTTCTATCTCGGATTTCTCTCTTCTTTTTTCCCTGCATTTTCCATTTGTCCTTAATCTCTTCTCTACTTCCATTTTCAACATCGCAACTTGCTTCTTCAATATCTCTTTCTTTAATTTTTCTTCTTCTTTCTCCCATCTTAATTTCTTCTTCTTATGTCTCATATTCTTCTGTTTCACATCGGCTCTTTGTTTTTCTTTTGCCTTTATTCTTTCGTCCTTCTTTTCGACCATCTCATCTTTTAAATTCAGAATGGCCAAATGTTCTTCCTAAAAATACACCAGTAAATAATTGCAAGTCTCATGCAGTGTGAAGCTTTTTTTTTTATATCCATTATATGGTAGTTGATTTCACTGTCACGTTTGCCAGTTCCTTTACATTTATTCCAATTACATGTAAATAATAGTCAGTAAAAAAATCACCTACCACAGTTTTCTTCAAATTCAATTGGGTTTTATTCTACAAAAATAAATGTGCATTGTTTCAATAATTTGAAATATCATTTAAGAAATTTTAGAATGTGGTTTTGATTATCAAAGATAAATTTTAGCTTTACAGAAAACGCGTATTGCTATTTTTATTGTAAAATGAACTTTCAGTGTCAATCCCCCTTTTTCCAGATTCGAGGAACAAAATTTATTTATCAGGAAAGTCGCTGAAAACAATGTTTTAGTAGAAAGAATTTTACTGTATATCTCACCTTTTCTTTCTTTAATTTCTCCTCTTCCACCTTTTCCACCATCTCCGCCCAGTTGTAGTGGAATTTGAGAATGGCCAACTTCTCATTCTGGAAATAAATCATGTAAGCATGAAGCCCCTTATGCAGTATGAATTTTTACTTTTCTTTATTCACCTTTATGCAATTAAATTTGAATCATGTATCTTAGCATCACTGCAATTCATGGCAAGTGTAGATTGTATCCCCCCCCCCCCTCCGCAATTTCTGAAGTTTTCTCATTCCTTTAATTATTTGGATTCAGTAAATTCACCAACTTACCACACTTTTCACAGCCTCCTCTCCAAAATTAAGTATTTCAGTTTTCTCCTACAAAGACAATACAAACATAAATCATTGCCAAAATAAAAACATTTACAAAAGATTTTTATTACATTGGGGGGGGGGATATTAATAGAATAAAGAAAAGTACGTAGACATCAGTAGACATCATACATAATTTATCCTGCTCGAAACAAGTATTTTTTAAAACGCCAGTAAGCCAGTTATGAATAATAATTCTATATGACCACCAATGTTTGAAGAATATATTTTGTTTGTAATTGGTCTGATAACAAACCTGGATAGAACTTGTCATATTTTTTGGGACACTCCTGTGAAAAGAATTATCACAACAATGTTCCGCCATTCGTTGTTAAAAGCGTCAATATTTTGACGTCACAATGATGTGACGTTAAAATATTGTGACGAATCAGTGATCTATTACCATCCCGTTTCGGAAATAGTGCCACAAATAGATAATCTGTCACATAAACACAACACGGCTCCGACATTCGTTGCTTGCAATTTTGGAAATTGTGACGTCATAATATCTTAACGTCACAAAAGAAGCGCCCAAACTTACTTTCCAGGCTATTTTTCCTGTCCTTGTTAAACATCAAAATAACGAAATTTATATTTTAACAGTTATCAAAGTAATCTCTTATTTGGAAAAATAGTTTGTGGACAATAAACTAGAGCTGATTCAAATTTTAATCCGTGATGAAATATAAAATTAATTTGCTCTCTTCTCTCTCTCTCTCTCTCTCTCTCTCTCTCTCTCTCAGTATGTGTATGTGATTATTTCATATAGACAATTTGACTGTAGCAGATTAAATTTGTGTCCATTTGAAAAAAAGGAGAGAGAGAGAGAAGGCCCGTCTTTGTTTATTTTCATAACGGTATACCGTCCTAATGTCTGTGTCTACAAAAGAATTCAGGCACACATTCTACAGATCATTTGTTTAAGTTCACACTTCAACACAGTGATGTTAAATAAGAATTACATTGGCCACCTTAATCATTATTAGTTGCATTTTTTCCTCCTATTCGTGCATCCACACCTCTTAACTCTGAAAATTGTAATGATATACAAGAAATGTTGGAATTCGCTCAAATTGCACTAATATAAAAATGGTGAAAAGGGGATACATCAAGTAAGTAAGGTCAATTAGACCAGAAAAAAAAGATTCATTAAAAGCAATGCCATAATGATAATAAAACTGTTACAGCTATAGAAATTATATGATTTATCAAACTTTTTCAAAATTCATAACAGAAGGGTAAAGGGAATTTCAAACTCCGTATCATTTACATCAACACTTACGGTTTGTTGCGTTGTTGATTTGTTCAAACCATGGCCACTTAGCTTAGGGTGGATCTATATTAGAGGGTCAAGGGAATTTAAATTACATCTTTCAATATTAGATTGTGGCGCCATCCTCTATATATTAATGTCACTACTTGTGACCATACTGTTCTTGGGTAAAAGATTTTAATTTAAAAAAAAGGATTTCTCTTGATTCTAACTTAGATAAATTGCATCGCAAATAAAGTCTATTTACAGTACATGTACATGTACATATATTTTTAGCTCACCTAAGCTGAAAGGTCAAGTGAGCTTTTCTGATCACCCGTTGTCCGTCGTCCGTCTGTCTGTCCGTCTGTAAACTTTTCACATTTTCAACTTCTTCTCAAGAACCACTGGGCCAATTTTAACCAAACTTGGTACAAAGTATCCTTGGGTGAAGGGGAGTGTAAATTGTTAAAATAAAGGGCCAAGTCCCCTTACAAGGGGAGATAATCAAGAAAAGACAAAAATAGGGTGGGGTCATTAAAAAATCTTCTTCTCAAGAACCTCTGGGCCAGAAAAGCTGAAACTTATATGGAAGCATCCTTGGGTAGTGTAGATTCTAAATTGTTCAAATCATGACCCCCGGGGGTAGGGCGGGGTCACAATAAGAAATCCAAGTTTTACATTGAAATACATAAGAAAAATCTTTAAAAATCTTCTCAAGAACCACTGGACCGGAAAAGCTGAAACTTATATTGAAGCATCCTGGGGTAGTGTAGATTCTAAATTGTTCAAATCATGACCCCTGGGGGTAGGGCGGGGCCACAATAGGGAATCCAAGTTTTACATTGAAATATATAGGAAAAATCTTTTAAAATCTTCTTCTCAAGAACCACTGGGCCAGAAAAGCTGAAACTTAAGTGGAAGCATCCTCGGGTAGTGTAGAATCTAAATTGTTCAAATCATGACCCCTGGGGGTAGGGCGGGGCCACAATAGGGAATCCAAGTTTTACATTGAAATATATAGGAAAAATCTTTTAAAATCTTCTTCTCAAGAACCACTGGGCCAGAAAAGCTGAAACTTAAGTGGAAGCATCCATTGTTCAAATCATGACCCCCGGGGGTAGGGCGGAACACAATAGGGAATCCAAGTTTTACATTGAAATATATAAGAAAATCTTTAAAAATCTTCTTTTCAAGAACCACTGGACCAGAAAAGCTGAAACTTATTTGGAAGCATTCTGGGGTAGTGTAGAATCTAAATTGTTCAAATCATGCCCCCGGGGGTAGGGCGGGGCCACAATAGGTATTACAAGGGGGGAAATTTGGTAAAGAACAGCATGGCCAAAGTTACTCAGGTGAGCGATGTGGCCCATGGGCCTCTTGTTTTATTCAATATATTCGATACATTACCATTTACTGAGAGTCTAGCTCAATTTAAATTCATTAGAATGGGAAATACTTTAATTACTGAATGAATGAACTGTAGACATTAATGAGAGAAATGGAACATTATAAACATTATACTGAAGAACTTCCAGGGAAGGAAATTCCAACTTTTGAAAAAAAAATTATGCCGATCATCCTTGGAAAATCATATGATCTCGCTTGCAAAAGAAGTAATTGTAATGGTGTGTGGTTACTCAGTATTCCTCTGGATTTGAAATCTGCATAGAATTCAGAGGTGTATATACTATAACTAACATGAAAAAAATAATAATCCTACAGTCTTAGTTCCATCAATTCCGCTGAGTATGTTGCGTATATACATAAAATAATATGAATAATTTACTATAAACAATCATGTATGTGCAATATTTTCAAAACCATAGAATTGTTGTTGTGCAAACAATATTGTTTACATTCGTAATTAATTGGTTACTATTCCACATTTATGTAGACAACATGTCACCTTTGTAAGGGTTTTGTAAGCATTGCTCTGATACAAGTGGGGAAAATGTGTAAAGAGTCAATCTGTTTTGGAGGCACACGTGAGAATTTCCATAATAAAGGAATCGGTCTGCACTCCCTGGATGAATTCTGACATGGAGAGGATTCCATCTTGATTCTTGTCCAGTCTCAGAAAGATTTCTCTTGTTTTCTCTTCAGGTGACAGATCCATGGTTTTGCTTGTCATCTTGCTCATTGCCTACAATTTAGATAATGAAAAATAAATACAGTATCTTTTGCATGGAATGAACAGTTGTTTTTTTTTAATCCTTAAAATCAATGATGCCTCTCTGCTTGCTTGTCAACCTGTGTACAAAGTGTGATATTAAATTCGACTCCATTGCAGTGAACGATTAAATGCAGAAAAAATGCAGAAAAGGATTCCAGCAACACCATTTTAAGTGAGATTGGGGATCATCCATAATAAGAGAAGGATAGAACATACTTTTGATCCAATTTTAACGAGGTCTCAAAGAATAATTATTCAAGAACGATTTGACCATCATAATAATAATTGGTGCATGAAAAAGATTTCCAATTAAATTTTCATTTGGTGCTCTGTTTACAGTGTCTGACACTGTATCTAATCGAGGAGAAATCTTTGTTAATTGTCTACAGTATGTAACTTATCTATTCACGACAGGTCAGTGATGCAACCAAAACCTAAGATACAGATACTATGCAGGTATCCATGTCATACATCATGTCAATGCCTCAATAGACCAGCAAGAATTTCTCTGTACTAACATTTATTATTTATAAATGCAAAGTAGTAAATTTATTACCTTTAAGATTTCCGTCATTTCACGTGCAGTGATATATCCATCCCTATCCAAGTCGTAGATTTTAAAGGCCATCCTTGCTTTGTTTTCCATTGTCCCTCTCGAGCTCACACTAAGAGCACACATAATTTCTCGAAAATCTAAAGTTCCATCTCTGTTTTCATCAAAAGCACGAAAGACGTGTTCGGCGAATTTTTCTGCATTCCCGTTTGGGAAGAGACCTCTGTATAATTTGCGAAATTCCTCTATGGACAATTCCCCGCTTGGACATTCCAATCTAAATCCCCTGTAAAATTCTAGGATTTCTGCGTCACTGAATTTGGTCTTTGTCTTAAGATCCTCCAGGGTTTCTAGTTTTAGCTTACTACTTTTCTTACCCATCTTCCTATAAAAAAAAATAAATCCGGACATGTATTTGATAAAATTCCCTACTTGTCAAAAATTCTGGATTTAGAAAAGTAATCGTACTTTTCTTCCTCACTTTTTCATGAGAAGCTGAGCAAAACCAAACATCCCCCCCTCACCCTCCACCCCCCCCCCAAAAAAAAAAAACAAAAAAGGGAATAAAATTTATGAGTGTATACCATAATAAAAAAAATACACATATGAAAATATATTTTGAGTATATTCCTTAAAAAGATCCTAAAACAGGTAAAATTGCTTTGATTTAATTAAACTATTGAATACATACCAAAATTTTTGCTTCTCTACACAACACACCGATTTCTCATTCCAGCTAAAACAAAATCTTAATGGTAAATCTCAACCTAACAAATTTCTACCCGTAGGGGGGCATCAGATACTAATACATTCCTCACATTCACATCTACATGTATATATATGTGTTCGCCCCCTCTCCATTCAATATTTGGTATCCCCTTTCCACCCTCTTTATTATTTTTTTTAATGTGAGATATGAGGTAACATGAACATGTATTTCCACGTCAGGCTAATTAATCATACAACCTATCTCATCTCCCTTTTTCTGTTGTCTGTGATCATCCTTTAGTTTTTTTCTTTCTATATATAGGTGTATACTTGTATATTTCATTCTTATACGCTGGGGAATTGAAGGCACTGGATTTACTCCAGAGAATTCAAAAAGAAAAAAGAAAAAAAAAATTACGAACATACTTTTTACTAGTGACCTTGCCTGGCCGTGTTTTTGCAAGAATGAATGTTAACTTTTCAGTGAAACATGAATTTTGTTAATGTATACCCCGCCCCACACACACATAAAGGAAAGAAAGTTATATTTCGCCAAAAGCTCCTGGAAAATGGGGATGTCTATTCACTTTCAGTTGAATTCTAAGAAAACTTTAAACCGCCAAGTAAAATATTCTGCAAAATTAATTTCTAGAATTTAGCAAAATTTATATTTTGTTTCAACCTATGCAGTCACTATGAAAATTCAATTGAAACTCAGTGTTTTATGGAAAATCTGCATAATGTTCACATCACCAGTCACCATGCATATCTACAGGGCACTTTATCATGGCAGGCGCGGATCCCTGAATTTTTTTCTAGGGGGGGGGGGGGTCCATCCCAGTCAAAAAACATTTCAACCCAAAAATTTCTTGACCAAAAAAAAAAAACAAACAAACAAAAAACAAAAAACAAAAAAAAAAAACTCAAAAAAAAAACCCTATAAATTCCCTTCCCAAACGTATTAAACCCAGAAAATTTCTTGACAACGTAAAATCCATTTCCCAAACATGAAAAACACCTATTTCGTGGTGGTGATGGTGGGGTCAAAGTCATTTTTTATTTGCTTCAATATATACTTTTAATAACTCTGCATTCCAGTGGGGGTCCAGACCCCCCCCCCCCCCTCTAGATCCGCGCATGCATGGTGTCATATTTTCTTTTCTTAGCACATATACAACACATGCTGTAAAAAGCCCACGGAAGAAAAAAAAAACTTCTTTTCACACAGTACAAAATCATATTTAGATTAGAAGGGTTTATTCTGTGGGTGTATACCCGTCCTAGAAAAATTCTAGTATTGGTAGAGGTCATTTGTAATTTAATGCAAAGTTCTGTAACCAGAGACTGAGCTTCATTAAAAACTGTGTCACCTCACGTGATAGTTACTGGAAATTTACACGATGTCGTGGTTATATATCCCAGAGGTCGTATACTAGTTTTCGTTTCGTGATAACAAATTGATATGGAACTACAAATTGTCTTCCTACGTCGTTAGAAAATGAAAAGTTATCCTCTCACAATAACCAATGAAGGGCCTCCGTACTCTTTTCTTACCAATGAATACTGTACCCCCCCCCCCCCCCCGTAAAATAGTATTTTAAATATACATATTTACGTGAAGTCCGAAGAATATCCTAGATTTATAAAGTCAGATCTAACAAATGTTAATGGTCTTCGTGAAAAGTCAACTTTATTTCCTAACTGACCCGACTTCTTTGGGGTGGGGTTTTATTTGTGCACCGCCAGCCATTTAACCTATCTTTTTACACATAAAGTATATTCCTTGTAATAACAACTTTATTTAACTTTTACCGATTTCGTCAGGCCCTCACACATATTCATGCAGATGCTTGTAATATAATCTTAATTGTTTTCAGTGAATTTCTGTAAATGGTACCGTCTTCATGCTTCCGTACATGGTTAGAGACTGTAATTTACTAACCTAATTTTTACTTATCCCATGAGATCTGGTTTAAATTTTGAAATTCAGATTCGCCAAACAAAACATTGTCTAAGAGGGAAAATTATTCTATAGTGAAATTATTTAGAATTTCTTTCAAAATACTTTTTTTTTAGAATCCACGTCTTATATACGCATGCTAGTACATGTATACGGTATTGATTAATTGATCATTGCAAGATTATTTTACTGCAAATACCAACGAAGGGCTTTTCCCGGTACTTTGGGCCATTGGTCAGTGAGGATTCTTTATCGTGCCAACGTCTGTTGTGACACTTGGCCTCGGTTTTTAAGCTGAATACGATTCGTAAAAGGAATTTGTCCGCCATATTCTTTTATTCAGTCGCTATATCTTAAGACCGCTATATAAGCTGTTCACTTAGTCACTAAACACTTAGTTAGGTGTATTCAGTTGTCACCTGTGTAGACGGACGTATGCTACACAGCTAGGGCTGGCAAGGGCCTTAACGGTCACCTGAGTATAATACATCAATCTAGAGGATCCATAGATTATAAATTAAACTGATAGGTGAAGCTTTGTTGCCCAAAAGCAAGAGAAATAGGATGATCAGGATCAATGAAATAATTAGTCTAGTACTCAGTAACAACTCATAAAGTAAGTTCTAATCTGTCCCCCATTTATCACTATAACTATGCAGACTAGTAACAAACTATCAGTGCTTATGTACTATTTTAACCCCATATTGTAACCTCTCACATTGGCCTCTCTTGGTCTTTGTAGAACATTTAATAAAATAAGTTATTTTTGTCTCATTTTTATTTGTCTATTATTTACAAGTCTACCTGATCATTGAAACTACGGAAGTACTTTTTGTATTATACAATAAAATTCTTGCATAATTATCTTATTCTAATAACCTTTCAAATACATTACTTACTATAGTAAATGGCAAAGAAATTACTCCTCTCCGTAGAATACAAATTAATAGAGGCCTGGCCAGGACCAGAACACTTGACAAAATGGTAGAGATGTTCAAAAATCTGGTAAAAACATATCATTGCCTATTAAAACGTTTACTCATTTTGCCTTCGATATGCCCAGGGGCAGAGAAGATTTTCAAAGAAATAATGCATTTTCACTGCAGATTCAAAACAGCCCTACCCAAACACCAGAACCCAGGATCATGAAATTCACAAAGTTGGAAAAGATACCCTCATCATCATATCTATGCACTTAGTTGAAGATTTTCAAAGAATTAACACATTTTCACTATATTATCAATAGACCCCCCACCCTTTCAAGAAACACCAGAACCCCTGACCCTGGGACCACAAACAAGTTTTAAAAATATAACTGTGCACCTCGTTTATCTGCTCAACACTGATGAGCAAACAGGAATATTTAATAGAATCAATGCATTTTCAATATCCCTTAGAGCCCCGCCCTTACACCAGAACATCTGACCCAGGGGCCATGAAACTCACAATTCTGGAAGAAGCACTCTTGCTCATCGTAAGTATACACTTAGTTTCTTTGCTTTATAATCAGTACCGGAAAAGAATATTTGCAAAGAAATTAGGGCCTATGCTTTTTCACAATATTATCAATTGACCCCCTCCCCCTTAACCAGAATCCCCTGGGGCCATGAATTTCACAATTTTGGAAGAGGCATCCTTGCTTATCATAACCAAATAAAATAATACCCAGGAGCAGAGAAGAAAATTTTCGAAGAATTAATGCATTTTCACTATATAATCAATAGAGCCCCACCCTAACACCAGAACCCCTGACCCAGGGGCCATGAAATTCACAATTTTGGAAGAGGCACCTTTGCACATCATAACTATGCATTTACTTTGTTTGCTTTATACCCAGGAGCAGAAAAGAGGATTTTAAAAGAAATAATGCATTTTCACTATATAATTAATAGAGTCCCGTCCCACAACACCAAAACCCCTGACCGAAGGGGACATGAAATTCAAAAATTTTGTAAGAGGGTCCCCTGCTCATCATAACCATGCACTTAGTATGTCTTCCAAATACACAAAAGCAAAAAAAAAAAAAAAAAAAGAGATTTTCAAAGAAATAATGCAATTTCACTGTAAAATCAATAGGCCCCACCCTAACACCAGAACCCCTGACCCAGGGGCCATGATATTTACAATTTAAGAAGAAGCATTTTTGCTCATCATGACCATGTACTTATTTTCTTTGTTTAATATGAGGGAGAGAAGAAGCTTTTTAAAGAATATATGCAATTTCACTATGTGATCAATAGAGCCTCACCGTTAACTCCTGACCCTGGGGCCATGAATTTCACAATTTAGGTAAAGGACTCATTGTATGTTATAATCATGACAACATTCTGACTATTTGATGTGTAGGAGTACAGAAAAAGAATTTTGAAAATTGCATTAATTTTTATGGTTTTGGTCCCATCCCCCAAGCCCCAGGGGGCAGGGACCATGAAATTCACAATTTTTGTCCCCTTTTGCCCAAGAATGCTCTATAGCAAAATTTTTTGAAATTGATTCAGTGGTTCCAGATAAGAAGCTGAAAATGTTCAAAAGTTTACAGACGACAAACAAAAACAGATTTCAATAGGTCACCAGAGAGACCAAAAAATTATTGGATGCCTTTACAAGAATATTGTGAATGCGTGCAGGATCTAGAATATATGTACATGTACAGTTAACTTCGGTTGGATATGTTGAAGTGATTTCAAAGTCCCAACCATTTATTCTTTAAGTACTTCAAATTTTTTCTCAGCCCCACTGAGTTCGAGATAACGAGGTTTGACTGTATATGACCATAGTTCGTGAGAAACAGTCACATAGAAATCAAGCCTTTTAAGAAAGTAAAACAAACACTTACTGTATTGTCATCTGATTTCATTTAAATGAATAACAAAGAAATATACAATATGTGTTTTAATATGAACTAGTATTTCTTGTGTTTAAAAAATATGGACAATATTTGTGATTATTCACATTTTATGGCAAACAAACTGTATACTATCAAAAGTAATCATTCATATGCATAATTTTTCATCAATGCAACAAACATCTACCACATTTGCCAAAAAAATAAGTCAACTGATATAAATAAACACACAGAAACCTGAGATGGAACTCACAAAGAATGCATTTATACAATGCCTCAACATCACATGATTTTGTCAAGGAGTACAAAACAAAAGAAAAATGAACACCATCAGCTTGTGATTTCTAAAAATTACAAAAACTTCAGTCAGTCACTACAAAATATATTCCCAATATGATAAACAAATTAACAACAATATAAGCATTTGTTTGGGAATCTCGCTGCTTTAGATGGTTATGTGTTATACCTGTGAGGAAGTGAAATTATATTATACATCTGCTGAACCCCTCCCCCCCAGTTACAGTACTCATAATCTTGCAAAATGACAAAGACTAAACATCAACTCAGTATTACAGTGTACCTATAAAATGAAAATCAGAAAATCTAGCCCCAGAAGTTGTGAATATACTAACGTTTTCTGCCATATCTTCACTTTAAAGTATCTAATGTACATAGCATATTAAGAGAGCACTTGAAATAATACAATCAACTGCAGCATTATTTGTATTATGTATTTTAGTATGTGTACATTTAACACAGAATGAACTTCATACAATTTTTTAAGAATTAATACTGTTTAGATTTTCATTATTACTGAACCATTGTGCACTTCTCAAAGATGTGTATGAAATGACCCCAACATCACTCAAATGATTACTTTTTGAAGGTTGATATGTACAAGCTGATATCAAATACAAGAACTGTAAACATGTTTACACTGGCGAGTAGAAACGTGACAATCTCTTCATTTCTGCTGCAAAAGGCCAGTGAAAAGGCTGGACAAATATTAAGTTTGGGTTAAATGTTTCAATGCTGAAACCAGTCAATAAAAACTGCTATTTACAATCTGGTTTACCTAATACTGCCTCATACAAAAATATGCCCAGTGAAGCAGGTTTTTGCATGTATTTCTTGCTTCTCGGACTGTTTTTGATTAAATGATAAGAAATTGTCAATTTTATCAGTTTCCATGGTGTCAATTTATCCAAGTTCACAGTATCTTAAATCACAAGATTCAGTTATTTATTGTTAATTTTGGCTGATATTAATTTGCTTTCATACACTGTATCTATAATGAACTGACATTACCTCTCCTCCAAATCCAGAGTTTGTTAAACCTACATCTTTTAATGAAAATAGGGTTCATATTGAACATGTTGAATACACAAGAAAAACAGTTTCATAATATCCAATCGACTGTTTGCAAGTTAGAATCAATATAAATGCTAATTTTTTTTTTTCGAAAATACACATGAAATAAGCTGTGAAATACAATACCACTAACATTGGCTAAATTTACTTCATAAGGATAAAATTGCTTAAAATTTTTATATCTCTATCAGAATATTAAGGACAAATTGGAAATCTTCATACATAAAATTGTTATATCTATAAAGATATTGAGGATAAGTGGTTTATTTACTTATACAACATTTAGAATTCATGGCTTCGACTCAAAATATATTAAGCTTACACAAATTAATGATTTAATTAGAGCTTAAAAAATTTGAATATTAAACACACGTAAAAGTCTGGGAGACAGATGGCCATGGCAATTAATGAAAGTTAATGGTTTGTCAGCAACTGAGGCATGCAAAATACTGAACTGGTCAAAACATGATGAGAATGCAGACTTGTAAAACAACCACATCATTTTCATTTTTTTTTTAAAGTTGATATACTGAAAGGAGTCTATTAAGTTAACAAAGATAATATATGTACATGAATTATTTTGACGCAAAATTATGTTATTGAATAAAGGGGCAAATTGAATCGAGGAAGAAATCTAAGATGCAATACTTCAAGTAGCTTACAGTACACATATTGGGCAGCTTCAATTTTCTTACTAATAGGTTCTTTCTCTTTGTGCAGAATAAGGTACATGCATTATATATATATATAAAAGTTTATTATAATTATTTCTATATATAGAAACAAATAACACTAGCAAATTGTGTGCACCAACCAACAGTATAAAATATCTCAACTTCTCAAAATACACATTCAATAGCATTTTCTCTTACTCATTGCAAGATTTACAATCAATGTAAATAGTTCACAAAGTATATATGTACATCCATTCCAATAAATGACATGGGCTATTAACTTACATTTTATTTTGAGCCATATTACATGTACATGAATTACAATGCATATCCTTAAATGGAGAAATTATTTTTGTGTGTGTGAAAATGTACCTGTACATTTCACAGAGATCTAGATGAGTCAGTAAGGAGGGAGTGGGGGTTTTGAAGGGGGCTGTTCCCCTGGCAGAGGAGGAATAGCATCATCTGCTAGAAAATCTAAATCACTTAGGTCAGATAAAGGTTCATATCCATACTGCTGACTTGCTGAAGAAAACGGAAAAGCTTGAACTGGTGGAGGTGGTGGAGGTATGTACTGACTGGGCTGTGGGGGAGGGGGTGGAGGCAGAGGTGGCGGTAGAGGGGGGTTGATACGAGAAGCACTGCCTAGCATAGCTTTTTTGGATTCTATAACTTGGGAAAGTGTGTCAAGTTGCTTTTGAACAGCAACATTTGTTGCTATGGGAGACTGTAAGACACTGAAGTCGTTTTCCGATACCAATGAATCACTTCCTATATCACACAATTCCATGCTGACAACAGAATGATTTGAGAGGCTTGAAGATGAACGTCTCATGCTTTCTGCTCTCTGCATTTTGTTTCGCTGCTGTTGCTGTGAATCACTGTTTTCTAAAATCCCTGTAGGACTTAACGGCCTCTTTCTGGAGGAATTATTACTGTTAACGAGAGGACTACTCTCATATGTTTTCTTTGATTCCATTTTCACCTTCTCCACATTTTTGTCCCCATCTCCCGCATGCTTTGGCAAGCTGATACGAAGTTTAAGATCAGACTTACCATTGGTCCCTGAACTAGAATGAGAGTGGGAGTGAGAATGTTTTGACTTGTGCGATTTGTGATGGTGACCCTCTTTATGCTTAGAGTGTTCATCCCCTGACCCCATGCGAGAGGGATGTTTAGAAAGTTTCATTGGAGGCACTTTTTGTCCTTCATGAGACGTTGGGGTACCACTGTGTTTCTCTTTGGGTGGGTGAGGAGTTTTAATTTTCAGTTTTAGTGGGGATGATCCTGCTTGAGAATAATTTCCTTCTGTTTTTATTTTCATTTTCAAATCAGAGCTTCTGTTAGGCTCAGAGACAAGAGGAGAGTCTTTCGAAATAGATTCAACACTTTGTCTTGATTCATCTCCTGTTAGTTCAGATTTGATTCTGCTTTTATAGAGGTCAACTTTATCAGGTGTGCTGCTCTCTTTTTTAACTTTCTGTTTTACTTCAAGCACTCTAGTTAAATCTGCATTCATATTACTGTCAATATTCAACTCTAATTTTAGCCTGGAATCATAGTTTTGTAAGGGAACATCTAGTCCAGGTTCAGTTTTAATGTATGTCTTTGTACTAAACCCTTTTACAGACTCAACATGTTTGTTTGAATGTTTATCATGGTGTGACTTTCTGCTTTTGTCAACATCAGGTGTGTGCATTTTTCTTGCTGCATCACTTTCTAATGAAGACACACTCCTGTGCGAAATGTCTTTGTTTAACGAGTGTTTTTTATCCACATTTGGTAGACTACTAGCACTTTTACTTATAGCTGCCTGTCTTTCTCGTTCTTTCCGTTCCTTGTACTCTGCAAGTGACGTCTTCTGTACAGTTGGTGTTGAGGTATCACTGGTTGACTGAGACAGAAGTGATGATGGAGACTCCCTCACATCAACATTCAACGACGCATCACCTGATATGGCATCAAACACGTTTTTACCATGAGAATGACCTACGGTCTGACTAGTTGGTTCTGTCTTGATTGTTTTAACTTTGGGTTCTGACTTTGAAATGTCCATTGAGGAGGTGTGTCTGCCTTGCGACTTCTCTGGCTGTTTGTCATGACCTGGATGAGAATGATGATGAGGTTTTGAGCTTTTATGGCTTTGTGGGTTACTTCCTAGAGCCGCTGAAGGTGCCGACGTTCCACGAGATTTCTGAGACACATTTACTTCATCTCTCTCCTTTTTGTCCTTCTCACCAGACTGAAATAATGATTTACACTTTCATAAAGCACATAAGATTTGAGTCAAACTTCCTAAATAGGAGAAGGCTTTTTCAACAATACAGAAAGATTTACCAAATGGGAATCAACACTTTACTTCTGTAAAATTATATCAAATATAGACATATATGTTTATACTGTATAAGACAATATTATAAATACATGGGTTAAGTGGCAACTTTTTTAATCTGGTACTGGTAATTTAAAGACAAATTAATGCAAATTGGCTAAATAGGCCATAATAAAAAAAAATTAAAAACCCTAGATTCTTATCTTTCAAGAAAAAAAAAAAAAAAAAGAATCCACAAAGACATTCACGAGAGAGAATAAGAAAGTTGAATGTTAAGTTAAATTTTGATCCAGATCAGAATAAAAATGTCGATTTAAGGACCCTCTATACACCACTGCAAAATGTTTTCTGGACATTGAGAAAATTATATTGTATAAATGTGTAAATATTGAGCTAATCTATTTAATTTTCAATATATTTACCTCAAGGAAAAATGTTCAAAGACAACAAAGTATAATTTTAACAGATATCACTGTAGTTTACTTCATCGGAGAAAATACATGCAAAAAAAGTTTTCAATTTTAATTTATCTTGGCCTTTTAAAATACTTAAAATACTTGAATTGATCACAAATTGAGAAATACACAAAAAATTTCAATTCAGTTGAATTCAGAACTAAGGGCAGATCACTCTAACTGCAGAAAAATACCACAGAATCAGAATTCTTTAGTGTGCAGTGTAGAGAGGGTTCTTCAAGAACTTTATAATTTCCAGAATTTTATTGTGTTGTAAACCAAAACTTAAAAAGAGGAGGAAGGAAAAATCAGGGCGGGCCGGGATGAGAATTGTGGAATTTCTTTTAAATATGGCCTTACTTCAGTTGCTTACCTTCCATGTCATTATCCTCTTTTTCAATTTGCTTGGACATTTATCCAGAATGTTAAGAAAGTCCTGAGTTAATTCTGTAACAGCCATTGAGCAATCATTAGCAAATCATGCACTTTCAGTTTGAAAATGTCACCTTTTATTTATTTATTTATAATTACCATTTCCAGTTTGTTTCAATTCTATTTTTGAAATTTGGATCTAGGATGCCACCATATCTCAATGCCTGCCTGCTTTTGTAAGTTTTACCTGTTAAGAGCTCTGGAGTTACAGATTGGTCAACATAGTAATACCAGGGACGACCTTGATTGGATGTAGGAATCTGCAATTTCAAAAATAATGTCATTTTACCTTGAGACAGATTTCTGCTGTTTTTGAAAAGAGAGTACATAAAGTGCAAAAAATTCTGTGAACAAATGTTCACTCACAATAGTCATCTTGCTCTAACAAAAAAAAAAAAAAAAAAATCAAAAATCCGATAGGCCTCAATGTTGAGACAAATTTCCATGACAAAATAATTTGTAGATATGTATATGATATATATATATACATAATTGTTACCACAATTAATGTTAGGTCCATGGTTTTAATCATTTTGAAATCAGTATTTGGAAGTTTTCAAATTATAACTTTCTTAATCATAAGGAAGTCAATTTATTCTTTATATGAAAGTCTGTCACTAAGCAAAAATTTGCCCCCTATTCTAGTTCAATTCTAATCTTGAACACAAGTTGAACAAAATATGAATCTAGACCATGAGGGGGATTCCAACAATATTAATTTGACACGATGTGGTTGTATTCATAAGATTTCTAGATGTTTTCTCTATATTCATCTGTAAATCTTTGATCCCCCTATTGCGGAACAGATGTTGCTCATAATTTGATCAGAAATACTGAACTCAATGACAATATACTAACCTCCCAATTGGACCATTTACAAGCCAGCTCTACACAGACACAGGACACCACTGTTGGTTTGTACTGCAGACAGAGAGTGGTCAAGTGTAAGCTGGAAAAAAATAAACAGAATCTCAAAAGACTGTTAAACGCTTTGTCACAAGTTTACAATCTTGTTCTTAAAATAGTATACTAGACTCTAAAATATCACCATGTTAAATTCCTAAATTATGAGTTGAACTGTATATGTGTATTTGAAATTAATACAGCTTTCTTTTCTTCATTTTAGACCTTGCAGCAGAGATGATATCTACATCACTTTGTCCTACATGTATAAAACCATAGAGTGACGGCTACTGTAGCCACTAGGTGTCACGATTTTCAATTTGAAAACAGCTTTCTCAGTAATAACAGGGTTCGACACTAACTTTTTAAGGCTTCAGTCCAGCCGGACTAGTGCTTCATTACTTTTACTAGTCCGCACGCGATTTTATTAGTCCGTCAAAAAAAAAAAGGTACATCAATGTTTTTTAACATTAATTTAACGTGACAATTAATATACGTATTATTTTTTGAAATAAACAAATTATTTACGTGAAATATATTATTCCACAGATTCATTGAAATCTCGCAATCAGCAAGGACGATCGTATTCCCTATCTCGTTTTTTTTTTCTTTTTCTTTACATTACATCCAAAACATCCAACATCTTTCTTAAAAGTGTCATACTAAATCATGATTGCTAAAACCTTATACTTCATATCGATCAGTCGAAAAATTAAGCGCTGAATTGACCCAGCATTGCGTAACTACCCGCCAAAAGCTAGAAATCTAAAAATACACGCGGGGTTTTCAAGTAAAAGTTGTCGAGAATCGGACGTCGGTAATTTATTCATATTGTTTTTCAGAAATTTTTATTGGTCCGTTCGGACTAATTAGCCACATATTTTATTAGTCCGAATGAAAATGTATTAGTCTGAGACTAACGGACTAACGTTAGTGTCAAACCCTGAATAAATTATCATAACAAATTAGGTGGAGTGAATCAAGGATGTACATGTATGTGTAAAAACATTTACTTCATTAAGATGGAGAAGGGTTAGAAGATAACTCAAAAATAGTACCATAGATATATGTAAATTATCCTCCTAAAACAACCAACCATAGAATTGATTTATTCATAAGTTCTCCCATGGATAGAAGAGAGTTTTTTTTTGTTGTCTGCAGGTAGGGTAGATTTTTTAATGGTAGCCCTTATCATGTTAATCATAAATTTCTGTTCTTGAGAATCGACACAGATTGACTATATTTCCGCATTAAGGACTCACATGGTCTAAGGAATCTAAGCATCTTTCTTTACCTTTCTTTGGAGGAAAGAAATAGCAAACAATAGATATGTAAAACATATTCAGTGATTGTCAGATGCTTCACATTAAAAGTCAATGGAGATACATGTATATATCCATTTGTCTTACAAGTGGTTAATGCAAAGAACAGATGGTTGTATTTGTAAGGAAAAATTATGGTGGCCGTGTTCAAACTGCATTTATTTGCTGAACCATGTCTGCTTTGACTTTCAAAGTTATGGTAATGAAATCTACTTCTAAAACAATTCTTTGGATATCTACCTTGTTTCAGTCAAGAAAACATAATTTTAAGGTTTCTCTTACTTCAGTTTGCAGTGAGAAATTACGTATATTCATTGATAGCCTTCCAAAAGCTTGTATTTTTAAAGGTATTTGCTGATCCATGTAGGTGAACAATACATTGATCAGTATTTTTTCTTCTACTTTCCTAGATATTAAATGCACCACAGTATTCAAAACCAACCTGTTTGTTGCCAAGAAGTAGGAAGTCTGGGCTAAGTCCTTTGGTGCTGGTGTTGCCCAGGAAAGAGAAAAAGCTCCATTAGTAATACATACAAAATATATATCACCAATTGAATTTTTTTCCAGGGGCAACTTCTTTAATTCCATTTAAGAGACAAAATACATGTACTTCATCTTGCCCCAGTGCAATGTGAAATTTCAGTTTCAGCTGACCAAGAAACTTTTTTTTCTGAGCAAAGTTGATAATTAAAAAGAATTTTGTTCAGTTGGTTATCATTCCAAACTTGTTTCTCTTTCTGCAAACTGGGAAATTTGGTAATTAATGCCTGACCTTGTAATAGATAGGAGAAACAAAATCATTTTTTTTTTGTCTTGGCAATCCTTCACTCATTACGTTAAATTATTTATAATCTAAAAAATAATAGTCAACACTCACCTTTCACTAACTGACATGTTTTCACAACATTGGTATGGGGATGTTCTATTGACAAGTCAAAACCTAGAAAGAAAGAAATACATGTAAAATTCTGTTGTATGCATGTACTAGCTAGAACCTTCTATTGTTAAAATGATATTGTTCTACAGACCTTGTTTAACAATAGAATTTATTCCCTATATCAGTGATGATTCTGTGAATTGGCCAAAATATCTGAAATAGTTTGGAAGTCGAGGGGCTGACGAAATTTGGGCTTTAGCAAGCCCAAAATAGGTTTAAATGAGGGACAAAAATTGAAGTGAAACAGTTTGTTCAAAAACTTTTACATCTTGACCAGGCTGAATGAACTGCCATGCCATTGTAAGGAAGTCTCAATCATCCCTGCTTTTGTGTTTACCTTACTTGGAGATATAAGAAAACATCTGTATAATGCAGCTTAGATCAACATATGGATGAAACAACTTGAATTTTTTACCCGGACAAAAATGGAAACGGAACGCTGCAAAAATCGAAAGTATCAAAATATCGGAAAGCACTCGTAAAAATTGGATTCTTGGATTCAAATTAGTGGAATTCCACTAAATATCGGAAGAGAATCATCACTGCTATATAAGCAATGTACCAAAATCAACAGGGGCATATATTTAATCTATGTAAACTCTTTGAACTATGAACATCGACGTGGTGGATGAATATGAAGCAAGGAAAAAAAAATGTTGAGAGAATATGTCGAAATTTTCTTTAAATGGGTTGATTTTTTTTTTTGTGGAAAGAACACAAAAGCTCAAAAAGGCTTGTTATGTTAATTTGGTGTTTTAATATTTTTAATTTGCAACTTCATTCTACCCTCAACAAGGGCCTCATGGGCAACAACACTCAAATGAGTTACTATGGCCCTGCTGTTCTTCATCAGCAGATTTTTCCCCAATATATTCCTATGTAAATCTTTGATCACCTACTTTGGCCCCATCCCACCCCCAGGGGTCATGATTTGAACAAAACTTGAATATAAACAAGCTGAAGATGCTTCCATATTAGTATGACTAAACATGCCTATGCTGTTATTGAGTAGAACAATTTTTAAAGATTTTTCCCAAGTGCTTCTCTCCAGACAGTAACATTTTCTAACTATGTATTTACAAGTACCATTGAATGTTTCACTTTGGAATTTTGATCTCTAGACTTTTCATTAAGCATTGGAAGTTTTATTGTTTATTACTCTGAAGCATACCTAAAGTTTGAAGCAAGATGTTTTCATTGGTGACCAGCTGATGAGTTTGCTCCATGTAGTACTGAAAAGGAGAAGCAACACTGAATAGAAATGTACAATTGTTTGAATATTCTACTTTTAGCATTGAGGTAAAAGTCAATTTGCTATTTTTTTTTCAAATAGCTTATGAAAAAAATGTGGTGAGCAAAGATCTCCAGTTCAAAAGATGCTGCCAATCTATCATAATTTCTGCTATTGTGCAATAATTTTCACATTTCATGATCATATGAAAATATATACAGATCCTTTTATCTTCTCTTCTTTTTGTCATCTTGTTTCGAGATATATCCATAACTTAACCTCATTTTTAACATGCTTCTCAATCAAAGTGGTAAAATTCAGAATGCTAGTATTATGTAATATGTTATATACACACTTATTGATATCCAATGAATCAAGTAACAATTGATATATTTTGATGCATTAATTTAGTAATCATGTTTTTTCCTAATTGTCTTCAATCTACATACATCACTGTTTGTGTCCAGAGCATCCTGATTCAGGCACTTCTGCACCATTTTGATGACATGCTCCAGTTTGCGGGGCTGTTCCTCCACTTTTGCAGCTAAAAATAAACATGCGGCAGCCATACTCTACAACAAAGAAGATTACCATCTTTAAAATAACAATTTTCCCATACTCTATCAAGCCTTGCTCCTACATTTAGATTTGACTTTAGCAGATTCATTTTTCTTAAAACAGGATAACTGAGATTTACAATAACGAAATGTTTGAGAAAGTATGCAAAATTGCCCAGAGAGCCTCCAAGGCCTACGTTTTTCTCTACAGACTAAAATGTATTTGAACTATGAGCCAAATTCAACTAAGGTCTAAAATTTGCTAATGCAAAAACATCTCACCAGTCCCCAAAAAGACTGGTATATCACTGACTATATACTCACATTTCGATGAAAAATTGTAAATGAATGGAACATGTAGAAGCGGTGCATGTAAACGATAGCTGTATTGATACATAGTTGGTTACTGAAATAACTGGTTAAGGATAACAGAGCATTTGTGTATATTTTAAATACTGCTTTGCAATGTTTCATCAACAAATATTAACACAAATCATATAGTTACCTCAAAATATTCACAGTTGAACTTCAAATGTACATAACTGACTAGTTATTTATTTTTTTTTATTTTTAATATCATGGTTGAGATATTTCCCACTTTTTACCCAAAAGAATACATTAAGTATGTTCTTTTTTTTTTATACATAGATTTTAAATGCTTGAACAATTTTATTTTAGAACCACAACAGATATCAAAACAAGTTAGAAAAGGAGAATTTCTTTAAACATGAACTTTTCATTTTTAAGAAAACTAATGTTATACAACTTTAGTCAGAAAAGGAAGGCAAAGCATTGATTATTTATTTCATCATGAAATCACGTGTCCGCGACTACATATCACGTGATTGCTATGGAAAAAATGCCGGTTCAGATTTAGGTCAACGGTGTGCGCAGTTCGTCTGGATAAAAAGTTGAAATTTCTTGAGTAATCCGAGAATTTACAGGAATATTCCTTGTGATTCTTATTCAAGATAACTCAGGTAAGATTTTAGACATTCATTTTTAATCGGAGAATCGTTCTTATTACCTAGTTGCCCGATTAATTTCGAAAGCACGAACGAAACAACATCGATAACATTGTCACAAACTTGCCGTCGAATTTAACCGACAAATAGGATACACTTGAAGTTTTTGGCCCATGTCTTGAATAAGGTTGGCAGCTTGCTGTCTATACGTAAGTTCTTTGTCGCTGTCTATCCCACATTTTCGGCTGGGGGTGTTTACAAGTTGCGAATTGGTGAAAATCCATCGCTCCCCCGCCATTTAACCATGCACCGAGAGACCCACTAGTGCGCAAGCGCAATAGTATCGATGAAAGCCACGCGGTAAAGAAAATTTTATTTTTCATTGATAAAAATTGAATGAATTTGATGTAACAAATATTTTTGTGTGTCTTTTTCATTGTTGGACAAAACATTTATTTTTGCAAAGTGTAATTTTAAATAAATGGAAATTAAAAAAGACGTACTTTTAAAATAAATATATTCATCTTGGCCTCTATTTTTTGGGACAACGTGATTGAGAATATTTATGAAGGTAGAAAATTCTCTGACAGCCGTCTTTCACTTTCCTTTATTTATATTGAAATAGAACATGTCAAAGCACAGTCTTTTAGAATCTCAATATGTGCACTAAAGTTGGATGAAAGAGGTTTTGATTGATAAATACATTGAGCATGTTGAACCCATAAACAGGCACTGTGCTTTAGGCCTATTGAAGAACTGCTATTTTTTTTTTATATTGTTCTAATCCAGAGCTGCATTGAAAATATTGTAGCAGGCAGCCTGCTGCTAGGCTAAAAAAAGCATTACAAAATTGCACTGTAGTACAGAATTATTTTGTATGACACCAAGAAAGTCCATGACAAGTTAAGGCGACCTCATTCTTTGAGTTCTTTATGAAGATTAGTATCTGAATATACTTTAGACGCCCTACTTTAGAGCATATTTCCTCATTGCCTGCCCTAGCTGGCTCATGCTTAACCCACATAGTGCCCATAGGTAAAGGATGCACACTGACATTTATGCAAGATATTGAGTTAAAGCTCAGGGTCACAAACAGGTGTCTGTGTGGAGTATATTTTCTCTTCTCTTTGCCCACTGTGCCCTATACTTCACTGACAGTGTCCATGGGAAAAGGGTATGCAGTGACTAAAGTCTGGCATTAATATTTTCTTCCCTTGTCCTAGTCTGGCTTATTCTTCACCGCATTGTGCCTTGGGTAGAGGCTATGCTGCGAGTGAACTTGATCAAGTTTCACTTTCTACGTAAAATTTCAAAGTCAGATCTCTGTGTAAAATCCTTGTTCAAAAAAATGTTGTCTCCTTTTGGTCCAGTCTTGCTCAAACACATAAAGAGTGCTCTTTTCAAAGGATTTTAAGTCAAAAGTGACCTTGAGGCAATTTTCAAGTCCTGAAGTGAAGGTCGAAGTGATCTTTTTTTAAAAACCTTGTCTGGAGAAAATTATTTCTGCTCTTGAACAAGTTTGACTTGCATTTCACCCATAGAAAACCTTGATATAACGGTATGTACTGTTTGAAGCTACTCATGATGGTCAGTCAGTGTATTCCCTATGAGAATCCACTGCCAGCCAAATTTACTTCTTCAATTAATAAAAATGTTGGTTAGAAATCTAAAAGTTAAAACATATCAAAATTAATTGTTGTGACATCCACAGATATGTTGCTGACTTGCCAGTTACACGTGATTACTAGCATTTTACTTTGAAATAAAGGGAAAACACAATGGTGAAGGTCAAAAACCAATTTTGTGTGACTTTCATGGAGAGGGGATTATACAATCATGATCATCCTGCTAGCTATTAACTCAAAAAATTTGAATCAATTTTGAATGAAAAGTCTCTCTCTCTCTCTCTCTCCTTCTCCAAAATACAGCTTGCAACTTCTTAAACACCAAAAAAACCAAACTTATGTATTTTACGCAAGGAAGGTACTCAGATTCAACAGAGTGACTTAAGTAATATGATTAATATTTCTTATTAATGAAAAAAAGTATAATTTTCTGGTTTAACTTTCAGTGATGGCTCAACGACAACCAAAAGTACCGCCTCATGTTAACATTCGGAAACCTCGTTCACCTCCAGAGGGACAGTTTTGCTTGTACAGTCATCGTACATGTACACACAACAAGCTACCAGGGTACGACTTCTGCAGCAAGCATATTCTAGAAGACAAGAATGCTCCATTTAAGCAGTGTGAGTTCAACTCTGCAAAGAACGGGAAAAGATGTGGAAGTGCAGCAACAAAGTCCGACAAGAAAGGAGTTCATAGGTATTAGAATTTGGAAGTGTTTATGAATATCTAATCATATTTAGTATTACTTGGGAATAATTAATTTATTTGAACTTTTTGTAAAAATAATGTATTTGACTTCGTAGATATTGCATGGAACATGCAAGGAAAGCCATAATTCTACGACAGAAAGCCCATCACAAACGAAGGCCTGTGGAAACTGCGGACAGTCTTCTAGAAGATTTGGATCACTATAAACTTGTAACTGGACCTGATGGAGTACTAGAGCATCAAAGACAGCACTCTACAGGGGACAACATAGCCAACAAGGCCCTGGGTAATACTTTGACTGTACTGAGTAGAAATAGTTCTGATATACTGTGGAATTGTTTTAATTCATGGGGGGCCAATGTTCAGTGGCAACCAAAATTTTATTGGTTCGTGGGGATGTCATTTCATGGATAATGTGTATAAAGAAGATATAATGATTTGATACATTGATAAAATTATAGTTCATAAGGATGTAAATTTGATGGTAAGGGTGACCTCAAAATCACAAACACTGATGGTTCTATAGCATGTGACACTAATACATACAGTATTCATGTTAGAAATTCACCAATTATATAAAAGAATATGGTCTTTGTAACTGATTTGTTGTAGACTATGCCCAGTATGTGACACATACAGTACCCATGTGAATTATTCATTAAAGAATGATGCTAATTGCTCTTTATAACTGATCTGTTGTAGATTATGCCAGCTCCAGTGACTCAGATCTTGAGTCCCCCTTAGTGGACCAGGCCTGGAGGGGGGATGGGGACAGTGACGCAGAGAGTATAGACAGTGACCAGGAGGATCTACTCAAGTAGGCTTCATTTCTTTGAGGAGGGGGTATACAAAAATTAATATTACTTCATAGTTGTTTCCCCTTAATGGACCAAGCTTTGATATAGGGACTCGGAGGATAATGATGAGTATAGATAGAAATAAAGAAGATTTACTTCAATACATTTAGTCTTTATTTCTTCTAGGGAAGGGGTTATTGGGGGGAATTATGTATATTAATAGTTAATAGTATTATCAAATTGAATTTATGCACAGATTATCAAACCTTGATAAATTATAAATAAAATAGTTTCTAAAAGTCGCTACTATTATTTTCTTTAAAAATAGAAGGAACCTGAGGTATTTGTAATGTTTTCCTCTATAGCTTCAGTGTTTTATTCTTAAGAAAAGGTTATACAGTGCACTGTTAATTTAAGTGAAGAAAATTGAATATACCCAATGCTTACATGTTTTAATCTTATCAAATGTATTTTCACATACATTATGAAGTAGTTATGAATTAAACACATACACCTGTTTGATAAGCAATAATCAGAAACCAATGTTTGACACTGGAACCTTGTCATTTGATGAAGTCTTTAACATGTTTTACAGACATGCTGGTATTTACACAGCAGAGGAGGTGGCCCTCATCATGAGAGACAAGCTCATTCGTCTCCAGTCCCTGTACATTGACCAGTTCAAGAGACTTCAGCATGTAATGAAGGAGAAGCGAAGGAAATATCTCCAGACTAATAAACAGGAAAGGGAAGCACTAGGTACGTAAAATGGGGAGGCACTCTACATAAAATAGGTAGGCACTCAGTACGAAAAATGGGGAGGCACTCAGTATATAAAATAGGGAGGCACTCTACATAAAATAGGGAAGCACTCTGTTCATGAAATAGGAAGGCACTCTGTACATAAAATAGGGAGGCACTCTGTTCATAAAATAGGGAGGCACTCTACTTAAAATAGGGAAGCACACAGTACGTAAGATAGGGAAGAACTCGGTATATCAAAATGGGAAGCAGTTGGTATGTAAAAAAAAAAAAAAAGAAAAGAAAAAAAAAGGGAAGCAGTTGTTATGTAAAAAGGCAAGCACTCTTTATGTAAAAAGGGAAGTGCTCAGTATTTTACAAAAATATGAGCCTTAGAAACATTCGTTATTATTATTACTGCACAGGAAATTGTCAAGTTTTGTGGAATCAAATTTATCTCTTATCAAATGTACAAGTGAGTGTTCACGTTTGATAGTGACATTACATTTGCCTGTTGTGGTTTGTTTTGCAGGAAGTATAAAGTATTACAAGAACAAAGTACATTCCCGGGACAAGTACAGTCAGCTTAAGGTTCTGAAGAGATATCACAAGCGACAGGGAAAGGTGAGAAATCAGTCTCAACTTTGTCATATTTTACACATAGATACATGATGTTATATTTTACACGTAGATACATGATTTTATATTTTACACATAGATACATGATTTTATTTATATTTTACACATATATGCATGATGCTATTCTTTACGCATAGATACATGATGCTATACTTTACATATAGATACATGATGTCAAATTTTACACATAGATCTATACATGATGTCGTATTTTACACATAGATACATGATTTTATTTATATTTTATACATATATGCATGATGCTATTCTTTACGCATAGATACATGATGCTATACTTTACATATAGATACATGATGTCAAATTTTACACATAGATCTATACATGATGTCGTATTTTACACATAGATACATGATTTTATTTATATTTTATACATATATACATGATGTTATATTTTACACATAGATACATGATGCTATATCTTACACATAGATACATGATGTTGTATTTTACATATAAATATAGATACATGTTATATTTTACACATAGATACATGTGGGGATTGCTATCGCCAAAAATTTCGTATCGCGATATTTCACGATTTTTTCCCAGAATATCATGATATCATGATATTTTTACAAACAATTTTTGCAATGATTTTAAATAAATATTCATAATTTTTCTGTAAAATATGCTGGAAAAACATAACTTCACTTTTTAAATTTTTTTATTTACATAATATCAAGCAATTTTGGATGCTAGAATGCTGTTCTTTTACCGTTTTATATACACTTCCTGTACCGGTAATTGTAATTTGAAAGATTGAATAAATAAATGAATAATTTCTGGAATTTTCAACTATGTAAGTAAATACCA